AGAGTTTGGACCTTTGTATTTCTCTTGGAAATGCTAAGTCTCACTGGCTACTGGGACTTTTCTTCCTCAGGGTTGAGGGAGAGACACAGATTCAGAATTGGCCAGTGGCCTAAACAAAACCATTTAAAACCCCCCTAGCTGGGGATTTAGCTCAGCGGCAAAGCGCCTGCCTGGCAAGTGCAAGGTCGTGAGTTCGGTTCCCGGTACCGGAGAAAAACCAAAAAAAAAATAAAATAAAAAAATAAAAAAATAAAAGCCCCCTTTCCTCCACTGTCATTAACTCCCCACCAAAGGACAGACCTAACCAACTTGCTGATGGGCTGATAGGAGATTCCACTCACTAAACAACAACTCTTGCTTTCGGCAGAGCATGGATCCAGGAGAAAGAATCTGAAAATGAAGAAGCTTTTCCCATCAGGAAGTTGCATGTACTGACGGAAGGGCCAGGGTCACTGATGGAGTTCAGTAGAGATGCTAAGGAAGTAAGCTCCAGTCTTCTTTAGTTGATGCTGTCTTCCAAGAATACACTACAAGGCGCGGGCAGGGTGGTGGCGGCGGTGGTGAAATGAATCAACTCGGCCCACACAGATTCCTAGTACATGATCTTGTTTCTGAACCTTTGAGGCACAGGGATGTGCTGGCCATTTGTGGCCTGGGATGCTGATGATCTCTTCTGTTACAGTGTGAGCACCCGCTAGACTAGCACCACTCCAACTCAAACCAAGCAAAGCTAAAATGGGTCACCCATGTCAGGGATACAAATGTCCTGGGTGAGCTGGTAGAGTTTTTGGAGGCCCAGCTTAGTAGGTCTTGGGTGAGGCTTTAGTAACAATCCACATGCCCAGGTCTACCATGCCCTCCCCTCCTCAGACTACAGACTGCATGCCTGTGGACTTCCAAGACTGCAGTGACAAGACTCCATGGAACAAGACCAAGAGGAACCTGGCAAGATCTAGCCAATTAGAAGAGTCTGAGCAGTACACCCGGACCATCCAGGTCTCCTTATGCCGAAATGCCAAGAGGGCAGACAATCCCAGCACCTACTCACAGTGCTCTGGCTTGTGTGCCAATCCCAGACATTGGGGAGGCCACTCTGAGAGTCCACCCAAAAAGAAGTGCACTACGATCAACCTCACACAGAAATCTGAAACCAAAGACCCTCCTGTTACCCCCATGCAAAAGCTCATCTCCCTGGTGAGGGAATGGGACATGGTCAATTGCAAACAGTGGGAATTCCAGCCACTAACAGCCCCCCGGAACAGCTCCTTGGAGGAGGCTGTCCCACATCTCCCCACAAGAAATGAGGCTGCTTCTGAGCCCAATACCTCTGCTGCCTGGAAGAGCCATTCCATAGCCTCAGAGAAGGATCTAGGTCCCCAGGCAGGGGCTGGAACAGCAGCACAAGACAAGAAGCCAGAGCCAACCTTTAAGTCATATTACCCCACAAAAAAAGCTGTGGCCCTGAAGGACTGGGGCAAGCAGAAGCCGAAGGAGAGAGGTGAGTCCTGTCTCATTCTTGACCTAAGTCTCATTTACAGCAGAGAAGGCAAACTCCTTGCCTAAGTCAATAGCAAGTTAGTAACAAAGGGGACTAGAGGACCCCACTCACTGAGGCCAGCTCTGTGCCAGGCAGCAGACACAGACATGACTGGTGGACTAGTATGGCTTGTGAGGCCAAGAGACTCACATAGAGTGAAGAGGTGAGCTATTTTGGGAAAGAGAAGCACAAAGGAGGCCAGGAGCTGGGGAGTCCTCAGGGAAGAGAGGGAAAGTCTAGGGTGTTTGTGGAAGGAAATATTGATCTAGCTAGAAGCCTGGCTTCCCATGCAGAAGCCATGAAAATGAGGCCAAAGACATGAGTCATCAGGCCCTGTCTTGTGAGTGCAGGCTGTTGTGCTCTGTTCTAACCCTGAGGCAAGTGGCAGCCCCTTAAAGGATTTTAATCAAGGGAACACAGGGTCAGATGTGTGCTTCAGAAACTTGCTCGGGGGCAGAGGAAGTACGGCAGCTGGAGGGGGTGTGTCAGAGGCACGAGTTCAACAGGAAGCTCAGTGGGCCTCGGTAGGGAAGACTCCTGAGGTGGATGGACAAGAGAAAGTCCATCTGGAAGAACAGCATGCATGGCATGTGAGATATTGAGGGACATCAGGTGGAGAGCCCCAGAGATGGGAGGGCCTGTGGAGCCTGGGCTGAAGAGAATGGGGAGGGAGAGACTGCCCAGGGAAATGTTCTGAGAACTGCCAAGGCCTTCCTACAGGACTCTGTCACCTTCCCTTCCCCTCTGTAGCTTGGGTCTTGCTTAGATTGGTCTTCTTAGACTCCCCCTGTGAACCCTGAATTAGTCTATCAAGCTTTGGGGTTACAATCATCTACTCTTCCAGAGTGGACACACCTGAAAGTCTGGCACCAAAAGATCCTTTTTATAATTTTATGAAGATTTCCAGTCCTCGGCTGATTTGTTTGAACCCAGGGCCTTATGAATGTAGACAAGCACCCTGCCACTGAGCTACATTCCCAGCTCTTTTTATTTTTTGAGACACGGTCTCACAAGTTGCCCAGCCTGGGCTGGAACTTGCAATTGTCCTGCCTCAGCCTCCTGAGTAGCTGAGATTACAGGTGTACACCACCATGCCCTGCTGTCCACTGGGTTTTGTTGGCCATATTTCATACTAGTCTTAGTTCAACAGAGGAATTTGGAGAATTCCTTGGAGTTCTGAAATTCAAGATTTGGCTTGCAAAGATTCCAGGGAAATGAAGAAAGGCCAGGGCCTAGAGTGCCACTTCTGAGAAGCCAGAAGCCTTTGGAAGGTGGGAATGACAGAGGTCCCCTCTCTACTTGGGTCCTGAGCCTGAGCTCTTAAGCATAAGGAGAGCACCCTTTCCTTGTTTCCACAGAAAACCCTGCTCTTGAGCAGCCTCTGCTTAATGCCAATGGAATGGACAACCCAGGGGTCATCCTCAAAGTGACTCATCCTCCTGTGGTGGGTAGCGATGGCGCCTGCATGTTCTTTGAGGACAGCATCATCTACACCACACAGATGGACAACCTTAGACACGTGTCATTGACAGCTAGCCCCCAGCCCCAAGGTGAGACTCTGGAACTATGCCTGGCCTGGTCTTCATTGTGGAGATGCTGGAGCCCCCACCCAGGGTGTTGCAGGCACAAAATGTCTCTTGGGAGCCCTGCAACTCTCTCCATCTCCACATCTCCTTGGTAGTCTCCAAGGCTGTGAGTGGCTATGGCCATATCCACTCTTCCTTCTCCACAGAGGTGATTTTCCTGAGTTTCTCTCTGTCCTGGGAAGAGATGTTTTATGCACAGAAATGTCACCGGTTCCTGACTGACATCATCCTGGATTCCATCAGGCAGAAAGACCCTAAAGCCATCACTGCCAAAGTGGTCTCGCTGGCCAGTGGGCTGTGGGTATGTGCGACAAACCCCAGAGCCTGACCCCACCTGACCCCCTGCCCCTGCAGTAAGTGATGTAAGGTAAGAGAAAACAAGCTGAGATGGGGGTAAGGGGAAAAAGGCAGAAGGGTGGCAGAAAGGACAGAGACAAGATGGCAGGGCAGTTTCATCTGGACCAAGCAGTGGCCAAGAGGTAAGTTTGGACTGCCTGCTCCTAAGCTCTGTAGCTCCTGCAGGCCCAGGGAAGTCCTTGCTCTGCACATCACTCTGAGGGGCTGGGAGATGTTCACACCTTGCCTGACCATGACTTCTTCTGGCAGACACTGAACATCAGCCCCAAGCAGTTTGTGGTGGATTTGCTGGCTACCACAGGTTTCAAGGATGACCGGCACACCCAGGAGCGCCTGTACAGCTGGGTGGAGGTAAGGCTCACCTGCACCCCTGGGGATGGCAACCTTGTGGATGCCTCAGATGGACTTGCTGCACAACAGCCAGTCCAGCAATGTCCAGAAGACTAGGAGGCAGAAGGCCACTGGTCCCTAATCCCAGGGAGAGAGAAACAGTAGTGGAAATTAATCAATCCAGAGTAGTCAAAAAGCAACATTCAGGCCACTGGTTTCATAGTTTTTCTCAAAGATAACCTGTGCCTTTATCCCTTAACTACCCTGGCCACACTTGAAAGAAGCATGATATGAACCCAAGCGTTGCATTTACAGAAGTCAGACCTTTTCAACCAGTGTACTTCACCTACTTAGCTATAATGTCACCTTCTTTTCATATTTAAGCTGCTTTAAAGGAGTTTTTGTAAAGAAAAAGAAAATGCTCAATTTTTCTGACTCTTTAAAATAATTTCAGCTGGGCATGGTACCACATGCCTATAATCCCAGCACTCGGGAGGCTGAGGCAGGAGGATCGTTGCGAGTTTGAGGCCACTCTATCTCAAAATAATAATAATAATTATTATTATTATTATTTCAGCATTGTGGGTAGGAAATACTTAGCTAATTTCTCATTAATCTGGCATTTCTGTAATCAAGTGGCTTACTATAACAAAATTCACCATAAACAAACTAGTATCCAATTACTATTAGTTTTCTGGTCTACCATTATCTATTATTTATAAAGGTAAGGTCAGCATCTATGGCTGGAAGGTGGAAAACCTTTTTTTGAGCATCTAGTCTTTCTGTTCAGTTCCCTGGTAGCCACTCATAGCCACAGCCATGTGAGACGTCTTTGGGAAGAACTGAGCCCTAGGGCACCAAACATCACCAAGAACAGGGCTGCCCCGTCCATGCCCACTCCTGGATGGGAGAATCCCACTCATATGGAGCTAAAGTAGGCATGTGGCCATGAATTCAGTGCTAAGCCAGGCCTTTCCTTGCAGCTCACACTGCCTTTCGCCAGGAAATACGCCCGCTGCGTGGACCTGCTCATACAGAGAGGCCTGTCCAGGTCTGTCTCTTACTCTGTCCTGGGAAAGTACTTACAAGAGGGATAGGATACCCAGAGACACATCCTCTGGTCAAGGTTTATTTTAACTGGGGAATTCCCCAGAATGCATGTACCTACCCAAGCATATAAATCAGTCTGGTTTTTTTTGTTTGTTTTTGTTTTATTATAAACAAATAAAACTGTAAATCACAACTCAAAGACCTGAAACTCCTCTGAGATACCAAAGGTCTAGTGACCAATGAGAAAATAGTAGACAATTCCAACTGAAAGCTGTTCAGTAGGCATTAAGTCAAAAGAACGACACTAGCCCAGAAAATAAGGGACTGGCCTGGAGAGCCAGGACAGGCAAAGCCAAGGGCTCAGGGGGATGGGTTGGTCCCTGGGGGAGTGCTCAGCACTAAGGCCAGGGATTGGGGAATAGCTGCTGGGAACCCATCTGTGTGTCTCCTGAGGACTAGGGGAAGCAATAACTGCCCAGAGCCATATGGTACTCCACCAACCTACAGCATGGAAATACCTGCTCTCTGTCCTGGCCTTCTAATTTACAACTGGGGTGGGAGCTGGAGAGGGGGCAGGAGAAGAAGACATGGGGCCAGGAACCTGGGTCAGAGTGCTTGTTCAGGCTCTGCAGCCAGACTCTCCTGCAGAGGCCCGGGGCCAGTTGGTCAATGGCCACAGAAATTAGAACAGTCAACATGGCTGCACATGTAGGTGGTAGAATAAGGTGGCCCGGTTGCCAGCGATGCCCTGGTCATGCAGATCTAGCCAGGTGATAATGTTCCTTGGAGCTGCTGGATCCACTGTTTCCCTTCAAGCCTGGGCTCATACCTGTGGTGCCAGGCCGGGCATGAAGACCTGCTTTACCAGTTCTGGGTTCAGAGTACAGGTTATCTCTGGGGAAAGGCTCTAGGCCAGCCTCATCTAAAGGAAAGGCAGCCATGGGCTCAGCCTGGGTTGGCAAGAGACTGATGGGCATAAAGCAAAACAGTACTTACATAGGACAAGTCCTCAAGTCCTCTGTCCGGGACCTGCCCTGACACACAGCTGCTGTCAGAGCCACTGGAGCCACTGGCTGATGGGCACTGGGATGAGACCTCAGAGTCCTCAGGAGCTACAGGGAGGGAGACTGCGTAAGGTGTCAGCAGGGGAGGCCCAGACCCAGAGTGCCTCCTGCTTCTTGCTAAGCCCAGACGTACTCAAAGAGGGCTGGCTGCCCAGCTCCACCTCGGCCTCCAGCGTTGCATCTTCTGGGAAGTTGGGAGGGTACCGGGGCCAGTGGAAACCCAGAAGAGCAGGGTCTCTGTACAGGTGCAGGTTGAGGGGCCCCAAAACAGAGCAAGAAGCAGGGTCTCCAGGAATGGGGTTTGAGGCCCCCAAATAGGGGCTCTCATAGTCAAGCGGGGCCACAGCAATGGAGGCCCGAGAGCGAACTTCTGCATAAGAAAGAGGGTCACGTTGGGACAGGCCAGAGCCCAATTTGGCCTGAAGTCCCCAGAGGAACAGAGGCCCCAGTGTCTCCCACACACAGTTTTCCCCAGCCCCACTCCCAGCAGCCTGCCTGCTACCTCGGCACTTTAGGACATAGTTGATGCTGCGGTCGTTGATAGCTTCTTCACTGGGGGCAATGTCCTGGAAGGCTTTGTTCCCCACACCCATGGACACCATCTCAGCCATGCGCACCTCTGAGTGGAGATTAGGAGTAAGTGAGAGCCTGCTGGGTGATATCTGCTAAGTCTTTCCTGTATATCCTTATCCTATCAATTAAGCACCCTGTGCACTGAGGCTTCCTGATGCCAGGTTCTTTCCTCACAATTCCATAGGGCAGGTATCATAAATTCCCTTTTAAAGATGAATCCCCTGATACTCAGAAGTTAATACTATGTCCAAAGTCACAGAGTCAGCAGGATTGCTTGACTTTGAAGTTCCCTCCCATGAACTGGCAGCTACTGCTGGACTTCCTCCCCCTTATCAAGCATTTCCAGTCCCTTAGACCTTCGCTGGGCTCCTAGGAGACACATTATCTGAGGGGGGCATGGGGTGATGGAGGGGGCAGGTACCCACCCTTGTTGTGAACAGCTTGCCTCCAGAGCAGGCGGGAAATGTCAGTTGTCCAGGCCTGCTTGGTGTCCAAGCTGGAGGCCTGTAGCACAAAGGTATCCCTGGCCTTGCGCCGGCGGAACCAGATCTCAAAGCGCAGTTTGCTATCCCCACAGCACTCAGTGAGGCCAAGGTCTGCCATCTGTGTGGCCAGAAGACAGGAGGCTGGTAAGGCTTGGGCAGGAGCCAGTGGGGAGGGGACAGCGTCAGATGGGCCTACCTTGAAGGAGCGCTTGTAGGTAAATGTGTCAACACCTGTGGACCCACGGCGAGGCTTGCTGAAAAGCAACAGCTCCTCAAAGAGGAAAACCCGGCGCAGGGACTTGTGGCGCCCAGCACGCACCATGAACTCATCCTGTCGCACCAGCTGCCCCTGCTCCTTGAGATTAACCTGCAAAGTTGCGATCTTGTGGGTGCCCAGCCCTCCTGCTCTCTTCTTCCACACCCACAGCACCTGCCCACCATGACCTGGGTGACTCACATCACAGCCCTGGATGGCATCCATGGCGAGCAGATCATTGCCATGTCGCAACTGGAAGTGTACAAGGCTCTGGGCTGCCTGCAAGGCATTCAGCTCTTGCACAGGGCCCCCACAGGCCCGCACCAGCTCCTGCAGCAGCAGTGCATACTTGCTCATGCGCTGAATGGGCTTTAACAGATAGGAGGCCAAGTCCAGTTGGTCTCCTAGTGCTTGCTGCTTGTCCTGTCAGGAGCAGGGGAGACCACCGAGTGATTTCAGGATGTACCGCACATCCCCCTACTCCTCCTGCATATCTTGGGCTTTCCTACCTTGAAGAAGGCGTGACCATAGCTGGTCATCAAGGCATCAGAACGAGGTTTATTCTTGCTGTAGAGTGCATACATCCCAAACTGCACCCTCTGCAAGGACACAGAGCTCAACCAAGGTGTGAAGGACCCAACTCCCAAAGGCTGTCCCCTTCCTAGCCCAACCATTCTCTCAGCTTGAGAGGACCAAAATGCCAAAAGGCAACTTTCAGGGAGCTCTTCCCAGATCCTGCTTTGAATGAAGGGTGATTAGCAAGAATAGACACTGTGTAGAGAGGGCGTGCTAAGGCCCTCTGAAGAGGAAGTCCTCTTTCCCTCAGACTGGGCCTCTGCATTTAGCTCTGCCCCTCCCATGGCTCTGAGACCATCTCTCTGTTCTCAGATCCCTCAGACTCTTGCTTGCTCACCAGTCTCAGCCATGCTTACCTTGATTACCAGGTTTCTTTCCTGCCACAGGCTTTGCACTTATTCTTTCTTGGGGTGGAGCTCTCTTACTCTGGCTCCTCCCTGGGTCAGTTCAAACATCTGCTGCTCAGAGACCATCTCTCACTGCTCTAAAGTGGGAAATCTGTGTGATCTGTAACCCACAGATACCTGTCATGGTTATTTTCCTCCTAGCCCCAACTATAATCTGGAATTATCTTTTTCTCTTGTAAGTGTCCTCTACTGAACTAAAACATTCTGAGATGCAGTGACCTTGTGGGTCTCACTCATAGCTGTACCCATCAGCCCGCCTAGTACCAAGCATGTGCCCAACAGCTCTTTGGGGAGTGTGGCAGAATCAGCTGGGGCTGTGTGACCAGTGAAGCTTACATGACGCAGGAAGGCATAGGCTACTCGAGGTGGGTGTCGGGTGCAAGCCTCCAGCTCACGCAGGAAGAAATGGCAGTGAAAGTCCCGCAGCTTCTCCAGGTTGCCAAAGAGGTGGGCACGCTGGCCTCGGAGGCCCTGGGGCACATCAGGGCGATCCAGCTCAGGGAAGTAGTTCTCCATGGTATAGTCAAGGGCCCGGACATACTCTCGCTCTGTGGCCACCATCTCTGCCAGGACCAGCTGTAGCCTACCGGGTAGGTGGAATCAGGACCCAAGTCATCTACCCTCCACTGTCTTCCCTGCTCTGCCCATTGTCTGTACCTGTTGGGGCTTCTGAAGTCAGAGCTGCCTGGTGGAGGCATAGTAGTTGTGAATAACCTGGGCTGGGGACCTCCTCCAGCCTCTGGTCCATGGCAGGCAGCAACGATGGTGGCGTGGTGGTAGTGCTTGACGCGCTCACTGAGACTCTGCCCCAGATTCTGGTCAAAGCTGTAAGACTTCCTCAGGGGAGGGGTGGCAGCTGGAGCAGGGACCCGGCTCATGCATAGGGTAGCTGTGCTACCTGGCAGTGCTGGCTTCAACGCAGCCTCTAGCTTCTGGTCCAGGGCCAGCCAGGTGTCCTGGCACTGTGCCCAGGCCCAGCGGCATTCCTGGCGAATGCCCTCTGAACCTAGACCTGTGGCTAGAGCCCACATTTTTCGGAAGTGAGCAGGAGGCAAGTCAGGGTGCCTGGTCCAGTGCAGCTGCAGCTGCTGCAGCACAACCCGTGGATGCTCCTGCTCCAGCTCTGCCAGGACCCGCTGCCCTGCCTCAGCCCACGTTGAAGCCTGCAACATGGAGGCCAGGCAGGCATGAGAGGGGAACCTCACCAAGTCCAACACACCTTCTACTCTATCAGCCCCCTGGCTCCCTAACAGGCTGGCCCCAGGCCATGTCCCCTGAGGCTGGATTTTTGGGTCAAACTAAGATAAGGGAAGAGAAGAGGCAGGATAAACAGGAAGATCGGATGCTGCTATGGTGTTTTAACAGCTGTTGCTTTGACCCCATAACCACAAAGTGAGGGACAGGACCCCTTACCCACCTGCTTGAAAAACTGAAACAGCTTCTCAGCATCTGTGAGACGCTGGCGCCGCTGAGCCAAAGCCCTAGAGAATTCTGTCAGCTGAGCCCGCAGGGCCAGAAACCGTGTCCCAGGGGCACCCAGGTCAGCTGCCTCCCAGCTAGCCAGTGACTGCAGAAACTTCTCTCCTTGCTTGATCTGTTCCTACAGAGACAGACTGGGCTCAGCTAGACCAGGCCTGGTGGTCTGGGCCCAAACTCAGATCTTTTCCACTGATATCTACATGTCATCAAGTCTCTCCCAAATACAAGGCCTTCCCACCACCCACCGAACCTCTACTTCCCCCCTTACTTTCCTTTCAGAAGCATTCAGCCTTCTCTCTCCTGGACTGATTCCTCCCTACTCTCCTGATTCTCCTTGTCCTTCCCAGCGGTTCCTCCTCCCATTCCCCTCTCTGAAGACTAGTGCACTCTTTCCCCTAGGCAATCTTGCATGAGAACCCCTGCCCTAACACCATCCACACACACAGCCACCAAGTGCCCTCTCCAGCCAGACTCGTTCTCTGAGTTCCAGACCCACGGGCCCTTTTTTCCCTCCATGCCAGCCATCTCAAAAGCACACCTAAGACTGGCCTTGTGAAAGACCCTGCCCATCAAGTCCTCATCCCCCGACGCCTCTCTGAGAACAGCATCCATTCATCCTTACAACTGCCCTCTCCCTTTCTCTCCCATATGGATGTACCATCAAGTCCTACAAACTTTCAAATCCGTCTCCCTGCACCTATCCTGGCCAAAGAAAGCACTACAGTCAACTCTCCATACCTATGCATTCCACATCCAAGGATTCAACTAACTTTGCATTGAAAATATCTGGGAAAAAGATCTAAAAACATCATATCACAGTGATATATGTGCACCTATGTTCATAGCAGCACAATTTGTAATTGCTAAAATGTGGAAGCAACCCAAATGTCCATCCACCGAGGATTGGATAAGAAAATTATGGTACTTTTATATAATGGAATATTACTCAGCTGTAAAGAAAGATAAACTCGAGGCCTTTATATTTAAATGGTCACAACTAGAGACCATACTCATAAGTGAAATAAATCAAACATACATGTGCAAGCACCGCATTGTGTCACTAGTGTAAAACTTGAAAGAGTTAATTTAAACTCGGAAGTATGATAGACACTGTGAAATGATAGGAAACCACCGAAGAGTAAAGGGCTTCTGGGATGTGGGAAAAGAGAAGGAAACGAAGGAGAAATTTTGTATGTATGTATATACAGGATAGATAACATGGTTGTTCTTCTATCTGCTGTTTCTATGCTGAAAGAAACTGTCAATGAGTCTTTGGTTGACCAGTATTGCATGTCTATATCTGTTTTCATGAGAAGCCACTTTGAAGATATCAATATGTAATACAACCACCATTGTTAATTCCCTACCACTTTGTTTGTAACTCTGTATTGTCTGTATTGTGCTTGTGATATGTTGTAAAATGTTGTATGTCTGTTAATGTTTCCCTCCTTTTATCTTTAAAATTAAAAAAAAAAAAAGAAAGAAAATATCTGGGAAAAAGTTGCGTTTGTCCTAAATATGTTCAGACTTTTTCTTGTCGTTATTCCCTAAACAACATTAACAATTACTTACATAGCATCCATACTGTATCAAGTATTATATTAATCCAGAGATGATTTGAAGTATATGGAAGAATATTGTGTAGGTCATATGCAAATATTATACACAGATTTAGGCAACCAAGACAGGTCTTGGGACCAATCTCCCACAGACACTTAGGGGCAAATGTATTTCCCTCCTGGACTGGGTTGCAATTGCCGACTCTTCACATCCACCCTTCAAGTAATTACTCAGAAACAAAGATCATCCTACAATGGGAATCTGATTATGCAACCATTTTGCTTCAACCTTTCACTGCTATAGGGCACAATAATCTGGCTACTAATCAGTCTCCTGGTCTCATCTCACCTCATCTCTGCCCACTCTTAGTTTTCTGTTCCACATTTCAACCTCACCAACTTTGTTGTTCCTCAGGCACATCATACTTCCTCCTGTCAGGAGACCTTTGAATATGCTGTTCTGCAGCTTAGAATGTCCCTCTGGCCCCAGTCCTCTTCTGCCTGATTGACCCTAACTTATTTCTTCAGCTCTCAGCTTGAAAGCCACCCAAAACAAGCTTGCATGATGCCTCTGCTGGGTCAGTTTTTCACATTCACTCATCTTCTCTGCCTGACAGTAAATTTCAAGGCAGCAAGGCATTAAATTTTCCTTCACTCTCCTGTATCATAGTCCCTGCCAAACTGCCCCAATATCTTTAGAGTGAACAAATGACTAAACTTACCTGAGCAACCTGGTCCAACTCCCGAAAAGGGCCTTGGGCCTGGAGCAGCATGTCCAGAGAGGGCTCCCCTGGCTCCTCCAGAGCTGGCCAGCCCACCTGCTGCAGCCACACTTCAATCTGATGAACACAATCGGGAAAAGGTGAGCAGGGCTTCTGTGCGTTTGGATTACACTGGAGATCAAGGCCAGGGTCTGCTCTGAACAAGTAGTTCCCACCTGGTGCAGCCTTCCCTCTTGGGCCTCCAGTTCCTGGAATAATTCTAGTGCTTGTACTCGCTGGTTGCTCTGTTGGGTCAGCTGGTGTAGTAGTCCATCCACACGGCCATACAGCTCATCAGCCTTGTCCACTGCTAGCCTGATGCAGGTTACACAATCTTACCTTGGTCCACTCTACCCTGTCCTGGGATCCATAATCCTGGCTGGTTCTGAACCAGCCAGTTGAGTCCTTGGCACACATGTGGTGGGCTGAGCTGGAGAAAGATCTGGGAATTGGGCTTGTACCTACCTGTAGTCTGGGCTCAGGGTAATCTCTGGGACCTCCTGCTTCAGCCACACCATCTCCAAGCCCCCTTGGCATTGTATCCATGCCAGCTGTGGTGAGTCTAGCACCCGTTGCATCAGGACCTGTACCTGCTGTAGAAGCTGGCCAACTTCCTAAGATTGAGAGCAAAAAAGAGTGGTGGACATGGGAGAGAAAGACAGTCAGGGAGCATTCATGGAGGTGTTGGAAGGGGACACTCACCCCAGACTCCGTGGGCTGAGGCACAACCTTTACATTCTCGATGGCCACCTGAAGCATGGTACAAACCACCTGGCAGTTCTGCAGTAACACTTCCAGGCGCTGTAAACGGGGGTAGGTATAACCAGTGTGGTCTCAGGCCTCCTGAGTTCCACGCCCCTGCAGCCAGTTTTGCCCTGCTCAAGCCAACCCAGGAGAGGCTCCACTGCAGGCCCAAGCTGCCTGTATAACCTCGCCACAGGTCCTATCGGGTGCACTGACCATCCGGAATTCCAGCCAAGCCTGGTGGCAGTAAGGTAGGCATCCTCCTAGTGAAGTGGGCAACCCTGCAGTGGGGATGTGGGTCACCAAGCTCTGATGAGAGGGCAGGTGCTCAAGCTGCAAGAGAAGAAGGTGTTGTGACCCAGGTCTGAATAGAGAAGGACCCAACTCCACTCCTAGCCAACTTGGTACAGTACCTGCAGCCCCAAAGGCACCTCATCTGGTATCTTTCCCACCAGCAGCACCTGGTGCACGGATCCTGGGGCTGCTTCCTGCAAGGAATCATAGCTCAGCTCTGCCTCTAGCTCTACACAAAAGGAGTGGAGGAGAGCTATGATCCTGTACTCACCTGTAGTTGGCTGAGCCCCCACAAGAGTGAAGACCTCGGGGAACAAATGCGGGCATCAACTAGTATGGTCAGTCCCAGGGCCTGTATTTCGGGCCTAAAGGGGTACGCTTCAGATCATTATGCTTTCCAGGTCCTGACACCTCCTGGCTTAGGCTCATTCCCCCAACTTCCTCCCTCAAACCTGGTGATGCCTCGAAGGTAGAGAAGGAGGCAGATAAGTTCACGGCTGCTGCACTTGGGGTGAAGCCAGGCTGGGTTGTGAGCACACAGAAGCAGTACTGCTCGGCCTTCTGCATCACGGGTCCCTGTGGGAAGGAGGCAGTGAACACCTGTCCAGTTGGGCCACCCCATCTCCATAGCTTCTGCCCTCTCAACTACCTGGCAAAGAAGCCATGCCACTGGCCAGCAGCTCCCAGGGAAGGTCTTGGGCTAGGAAGCAGTCAGCAGGCTTAGGTAGACTAGATCTGTGGGAGTCTTGGAAAGAGAAACGGCAGGGGTCTGCACTACCCAGAGACCTCTTCACGGACCAGGGTTTCAACTGAGTAGAGTGAGAGATCTCCCCATGTTGCAACACCCATCTTTAGTATCCCCGTTCCCTTCCCTAGACCAGCCTCCCTTACCTGCCTCTGGCAAATTTGGTGATGACTCTGATAAAGGGTTTCCAACGTCCACAAGGTTGTTGTCCAAAGCCCCAGGGCCCAAGCCAGCTGGCAACGTCCCACCTAGACCTGGGTTTCCTACCAAGTCTTCCCCTGGGCTGAGGTAAGGGGTCAGGGGGCACGGGAGGTTGTGTACTACGGAGGGGAGTGGCTCCTCTGGCGGGACTGAAGAGCCGCCTAAAGTGCTCCTCTGGCCATCCCCTGACCCATCTGCAGCTCTCTGTTGTGGAGACAATTGTAGCTCCCTGGACAAGGGGCTGCCCTGTAGTCTCGGGGGACTGGGGTCCTTAACCTGCTCCTGGGGAGTTGGATCCTCCTCCCAGGCATCCTTGAAACTGCATACAGCAAACCTCCAGTCGGTGGCATGGCTCTGAGAGTCTGGGGGCTCATCCCCAACCTCCTGGGGCCCTTCCATCACTCCCTGATAAGGGTGGGCCTGCCCCGGACACGTGGGAGAGTGGCTGGGCCTTGGTGTGAAGGGAGGCCCCAGTTCATCCAGGAACTGGATTGCAGACGGTCGGGCAAGACTCCAAGGGCAATACGAAGTGGGTGCCAAGCCAAAGGAAGCGCAGAAGCTACCGCAGTTCAACCCTAGGGAGAGGGAAAAACGCCAAGGGTCTCCCTTCCGCCTGGGTCCTCGTCGCGCTCCCGTGAGCCTTTGCCCGAGCGTCCCCCCTCCTCGGACCCGGCCTTGCCAGGCTTCCCAGGCCTGCCCTTGGGGCTGCCTCGCGTCCGCGGTCACGCTGGGGCAGCCAGGCCCTGGCCTCGGCGCGGTCCGGCACGCGCCTCCCCCGCCCTCCGCTCGCACTCACGCCCCCAGAACAGGAGCCCTGGAAACGACTGAGCCCCGACGGCGGCTGCTCCGCGACCGCCTGGCGTCCGAGGGCGCCCCCTCCTGGCCGCTGGAGGAGGGAAGGGCCGCCGGGTACGCAGCGCCGCGTCGCCCCCTGGGGCCGAAGGACAGAGCCACAGGGCGGCCCGCAGGTCCAAAAACAGACGGCCGGGCAGCCCCGCAGCGTCTAGGCGCGGGCCTACGCCCTCGGGCCGGGCAGCTCCCCACCCCAGCGCCCCGCGCACCTGGCTCCGCACACACACCCCGGCGTCTCGGTGCGCGGGGTCGACGCTGCGCCGAACGGCCGTTCCTGGGGGCCGGGCGCCGGAAGTGGTGCCGCGAGGGCGAGTGAGCGGCGGGGACCCCGGGCGGACCTTTCAGCCCAGCTCCCTCAGCAGGAGGATTTCTTGTTCCTCACACAAAGAAGGCAAGTATGGGCCCAGGGTTTCGGGAAGCCCCTAGAAAGAGACTCCCTAAGCCTAGAGCAGCTGCTTGGAGCAAGTCCGGACTATCAGCATGGAGGCTGGGCCCCCTACGGCCCCCTGCAACGGCCCCCTCCAGGTGTTTAAGCTTACGCATCTAGAGACCGACTGCACAGGGTGTGGCTGCACAGCGGTGGAGCTCCTACCTGGTATGTGGAAGGCCCCGGGGTTGATTCCCAGCATAGCAAAACAAACTGTGTCGTGGAGATCTAGAGACTGGTCCTATGATCCCATGACAATACGGGATCCCGTGATGGGGTAGATGATGCTTCTGGGCTGAAGCTGAAGGGGCAGTGAGGCCTCCGACCCTACACTCCCTTGGGCCCCCTGGCATCTTTCCCCCCACCAGAAAAGTCCAGCTAAGCAAGATGATGCTGAAGTTGAGATCTTGGAGGCAGAGAGACTAGGCCCAGCCTGGCTTCTCTACTCACCTGGTACAAGACCTCCAGGGACTCCTCTTCTCTTTGCACCTCAGCCTTCTCACCTGTAAAACAAGAAACTCATTCTTTTTTTTTGGGAATGCCTGGAGGACTAGGGAAGACCCCATATGTCGAGTGCCTGCTCACCGCTAGTAGCTCTGGGGCTCTGTGCATGCCTGCCCCTGCCCCTTCATTTTCATCCTCAGTGAGAGGATACTGAACTGATGAAAATCACTTGGATAACTGTGAGATCACTTCCAGCTCTGAGATCTGGGGTCTCTTTGGGATATGTGGACCTGCCCTGACACTCCTCAGAATTTGTGGAAAGATTATGGGAAGGTTGGCAATGTTGAAAAAAAAAAAAAAAAAGCACCAAGCTCCACACCATGTCTAGGCCCTGGCAGAATACCCAGACCCTTGACCCCTGGGAGGGGAGAACAGTGGGGTAATTGCCTTCCTTGGCTCTAGGGCAAGTGCCTCCTTCATTAACCTGGGCATCAGCAGGCACAGTGGAAAGAACAGCAAGCCCACCTACCCATCCAGGCACCCACAGTACAGACTACCAGGCAGATAATAGAGAAGGAACAAGGAAGAGCTGGCCTTGGCTTGTCCTGCTGCAGCCCCAGCCCCCAGCCAGACCTCTTTCCCCTCCCTGCTCTAGCCTCAGTGAGCATCAGATCCAACCTTGGTGCCCTCCCTGCTGTGTCCCAGGGCCGCCCCCGCTGACTCACTGCCTCCTGTTCCCTCCCTCCCCCTCTCTTGCCCACTTCCACTCACCAACCCTCCCCCCCCAGGAGCCCTCATAGCTGGGGGCGGACCTGCTGGCAAGCATACATAACATCCCAGTGCCAGAGGCAAAGATGAAGCTCAAGCCACAGGCCCTAGCTAACCCTGGCACAGCAGGCAGAGTCAGAGGAGGTGCAGACATGCTGAGATAGAGGCAGAGCTGGCCCCTGGCTTCGCCACTCCACATAGAATGTGCATTGTAAGCAGACTGGATGTATGTGTCCACTTCTGTACTTTAGCACTGGGCCTGGCACAGAACAGATGTTTAGAGGTGCCTGAAACTAGACACACACACACACACACACACACACACACACACACACACACACGCACGCACACCCGGCTTCCCATCTGTGAGTCACATGGAAACCGGAGTCATAGGTAGAGACAGATTCAGAGGCTCAGCCTGAAAGGCTGACAGAAGATGCAGAGAACTGCAGGATGCATAGCCCCAGGATGGCAAAGGCACAGACAGAAGCAAGGATAGACTGAGGCCGCGTGGGAAACATTGGGGGAGGGGCAGGGCCTGAAGCCAGTCTGGAGCGGCTGACCACAGCAGGCTCTGAGGGCTGAGCTTGCAGGACTCAGCAGTGACTCATGGAGTCCATCTCTGTGGCTCCACTGGCAGCAGAATCTCCTCAGAGCAGCCTTTTCCACTGAGATCATAAAATGTAGATGGGCCTCCCTCCCCTGCCCCTTGCCCAACCCTCATTCAGCCTGCCATTCCTTGTCAGTAGGAATCAGTCAAAAAATAAAATGTGAGCTCTGGACATCAGTGGGCATAATGATGGGAAACCCACAATCCCTTCCCTCACTCCACGCCAAACCTTGCACACCCTTCTTCAGTACTGCTCCAAACAGTGCAGGCAGCAGATACCCCAAACCTTCTAGACCTTTCTCACCTTTGGCCTTGGTATGGTATTCATAGCCATCCAGAGGAATCGAAGCCTTTCTGCCCGTCTCCCACACTGGCCTGGGAAATAAATCTGATTACTAGACTTGTATCCTCTACCTGGAAGATTCTCACCCACTTTGATCAAAATCCTCCCTTCAAAGTCTGGATATAGCACCTCCTTCTCCTGAAAGCCCAACCAGCCACCTTCTCTCAGCTCAGGCATCATCGAAGGCTAGTACAGCTGTCTTGTCCAGTGAGCTGGTTACCTGTGAACTTGACTTGCTCTCTTGCAGAGCAGACAACTGTCTGCCTCCCTAGGCATCCACCCTCTGCTGTGCTTGCCTGCTTTCTGGGCCTCCATAGACCTGCTGAATCAACCTTTGGGGTAGGCCCAGGAATCTGCATGTTTGACAAGCTCTCCAGTGATTCTGACATTAAAATCTGGGAACAGCTGCCCATTTCCCCAGCACCAGCCTGTTTGTGTTCCCTGGGCTGCTGGCGCAGCTTCCCTAAAGGCCTTTCATCTCTAGGCTTTTTTTCTACTAATCTACCCTCCACCTGGGCTTCCATACAGGTCCCACTTGAAGCCACCTCCCACACGCACACTTCTCCTGGAAGCCCACCCAGATTTCCTCAAGGCTCCGTAGCGCTTTCCACCAGGGGTTTGCAGTATAAAATAGGTCATCACAGACACTTATGATCCCTTACCATGGGTCAGACCTGGGCCAAATTCCTCCCTGGCTTGTTTTTCCTTTTTTTCCTACCCCTCTTTCAGTACTGCTAGTACTGGGAATTGAATCCAGGGCATTTGCCCTAATTTATATCCCCAGCCACCTGCCTTTTTTCCTGAGACAAAAATCTAAGTTGTCCAGTTTGGGCTTAAATTTCCCATCCTCCTGCCTCAGCCTCCCAGAGTGCTGTGATTACAAGTATGTACCTCCATGCCCAGCTTCCCATCTGTTTCATCATTTAACCCTGGCAGCAACATTATGAACTAAGTATATTGTTTTAGAGATGAGGAAACTGAGGCTCAGAGAGATTATATAATACATTCAAGATGACATAGCTGGACAGCTAGGACTGATTCCAAGTCATCAACTGTTAGTTAACTACTGGGCCTTATCACTGCTAGCTGTAATTGACTTGAAAGCTAAGTCACGGTTCATTCTGTTCACATTTTCCCCATGTATATCATAGAAAACGTAAATGTTAGTTACCAAGTCTGCAACCTCTGAAATGTATTGAGTTCCCTGATCCATAGACACAGAAAGTGAACTGACTGGTGATTTCCTAGGACTGGGAAGGACAGGGGTCAGGAGTGCTTTCTTTGGGATACACGGTTTCTTTGGGGAGTGATGAAAATGTTCTATAGGGCTGGGGATTTAGCTCAGCGGCACAGCACCTGCCTGGCAAGTGCAAGGTCGTGAGTTCGATTCCTGGTTTTGGAAAAAAAAAACAAAAAAAAAGAAGAAAATGTTCTATAGAGTGTGGTAATAATTGCATACCTCTGTGAACATATTAAAAACACTGAAGTCCACATTATTCTTGTTTTAAAATAGGGTCCAGGTTAGCCTAGAACTCACAGCAAACCTCCTGCCTCAGCCTCCCAAGTGTTGAGATTATAGGTGTGAGGCACTGCACCCAGCTTGCAGTGTACATTTTATTTTATTTTATTTTGCAGTGTACATTTTAAATGGGTGAATTCTTATGGTATATGCATTTTATTTACCTCAATAAAGATGCCTTTTAAAAGAATAGAAAACAATGGGAATTAGATTTGGGGACTCCTCTTATCTAGGGATTTCTGGACCCCACACCACCTCAATTTGTATCATAAACACTTTAGGGTAATCAACTGCCTTGAGATTGCCTTCCCACTTGCCATGTGCAGCAGGATACTTGTGTTCATTTATGCCACACCTGGCTCCAGGCTTTCCAGGAGTGCTTTTGTTGGTGCAGGTGTAGGGCATCTTGAGCAGCTGCAGCTTTGGGCACCTTGGCCCTAACCTCTGGAGTTGTTCTCCTTGCCAGCCTTTCCTGTTTTGTAGATTCTGTAACCCCAGCCCATTTAGTGTCACTTTAGTCCTCCTAGAGGAGATGTGAGGAGGACCAGAGACTAACAGCCCTGCCCAGGGTCTTCCCTCTGTTCTCTACCCCAGGGGCCCTGGGGCAGGCATCCAGATCCCCTGTTCCCCATATCCCTAGAACTCTCAGACACATGGACAAAACACCTCTATCCATCTGAGAGATGTTTAATGTATCATCTTAGGTTCAAAGTACAAAAAGTACACAACACAGCGGCTAACCCCAGGAAAGCCACCTGCCATTCACCCACATACACACTGCAGCCAGGTGTCCCAGCCCCCAGAGCAATGGGCCGATGTTGAGGTGGTGGCATGGGAACCCAGAGACTACTGCATCACATCTTAGTAAACCCAGATCCAAGGGTCAGAAAGTTCTGGACTTGGACCCAAAGCAGCAGATCCCCAGAATCCTAAGAAGCATCCCTGAACTGAAGTCTGGCCCAGACCCCTGGCCCTGGTCCTAGAAAAGGAAGAACCATTGCCCCAATACCTGGCAGCAGAAAAAAGGGGCTAAAACAAGAAATGGAGACACAGATTCCCACTATCCTAAAAATACTTGACTCTGGGTAGCTGACCCAACAGGTTGAGGCCTGCTCCATCTCCCATTGCATTCCTCTAAGGACCAGCCCCTCACTGAGCTTCTCTGCCAGGGCATCATCCCTGACCTGGTGCTGAAGAAGGGGTAGAGGGCAGGGAAGGCCAGCATCCACTGGGGAATGATATTCTTCCTTGGGGGGCAAGAACAACTGTCTGTGGTGACCCCAGGAAGGCCCCTGGGGAAGGGGCATCAGCTATCCAAATCTTGGCCTAGCCCAAGAACTCTGGACTGGGTCCCCAGCCATTACTGAAATAGAAGGTGAAAAGGGTTAGTTAGAAGCAGGGAAGTTATAAGAAGGGTACCTGTGAGGACCAGCCTAGGAGACCCCTCTGACCAGCCCCAAGGAGGCCTAGTTGCTATTTCACTCTAGGCCACTGTAGCCCTGTGTCAGGCTGAGTAAGCTACTTTGCCTATTGCCCAGGGAACAGTTCCCACAGAGACTCTTCCTCCTGCTCCTCCTGAAGGCCCTGGGCTACAGCCTGCCCCCTCTGTTGAAATGGATACACCAGTGGGAGTTAGCAGTGCCTGGGCTAAGATGGGTGTGGTCCTTGTGGCCCATGAGGGGCTGCAGCTCCTGCTGTTGGGGGATGTCAGCGCTGCTCTCACTGCGAGAACGGCCAGCCTTGGCCAGGCTTGGAGGAAAGGCAAAACTAGGGCGGGGGTCAGAAGACAGGTCAAGAAGGGCCTGAGGCTCATCAACATTCAGTTGTCTGGGAGGCAGGTGGGTCAGAGTGGGGTCTTGGGTGCAGGGAGGGGATGCTAGGCTCTCCAGAGATGAGATGCTCTGATTCCAGCCCATCTGCATGTCCACAGGCACAATCTTGGTGGTTTCTGAAGACACGTACACTGCCAGGTCCCCATGCCCACTCTTCCAAGGTAGCTCCTTCTCTGCACAAGTTGGTGAGGGAGGAATTACCCGTGGGCTCGGGCACAGCTCAAGGCTTCCTAGGGATAGAGTACACATGAGCTCATTATCAGTGCAGTGAAATCCTTAAGTATAAAGCACATTCTCATAAGTAGATTCATTTCACAGTTGCTATATCACATCCATTTGTGTGATTATTTGCTGAATGTCTTGCTGAGAAGAAACACGATGGCTGGTTTTGCTCTCTATGGCTCCAGCATCTAGCACAGGACTGGACACAAAGCAGGTGCTCAAGAGGTATCTACTGAAAATGAAAGTAACTACAGCATCAGAAAGCAGGAGCCAGTTAGGATAGAAGTCTTGGCTCTGTCACCCTCACCAGCCCTGAAGCACCAGTCTTAGACACTGCATCCTGCCAGGCCCCATCCCAGCCAGCCAGCACAGGTTAGACAGGCAGTGAGGGAGAGGAAGACCTTGAGGCTCCAGGCCAAAGGCCTTGCTGCTGGGCATACTGCCTGAGCACCCTCCGCAGCTTTTTGGAGGAACGGAGCCCAGGAGTGTGAACCCTTGCAAACCTAACAGTAGGCTGAGGCTGTGCCACAAATAGGATAGTGATAGGAGATGGAAGCTTAGACGCCCAGAACAGTAGGCAGCTGAATTACAGGAAGCCTGAGGCCCTGAAAGGCAAAAAGCTCTCCAAGGTCAAGTACAGTTCCTTGTATATGTAAGTGCTCAGCATATATCTGTTTATTGATAAAGTTTATTGAAGAGTCCAGTCAAATGTTTTCAGGTATTTCTGTGGTCCTGGGGATGGAATCTGAGGCCTCGTGCATGCCTAGGCAAGCACTCTACCACTTGGCTAAGTTGGTCAGCCCCCGCAGTTGAGTTCCTTATGAAATATATTGATGCATGATTAAAACTGAACTATATCTCTTAAAAGGCCTGCAGTGTTAAAATTTAATACCAACAAAACTAAAACTGTCTAACTATATCTGACAACTGAGATAAAAGGAAAGAATCAAGCACTTACCCATTTTTTTCCTATATAGACTGTACCTCAGAGTAACCAAGTAATTGATGAGGGGAGGTATTTTTTTTTTAAATAGAATTCCTGCTAATAGGTACAGATGAAAAAATAGATGTAGAATATCACCATTTTGCAATCCTTAATGAAATCTTGGCTCTAGCAATGATCATCAATGGCTGCTAAGGCCATTTAAGGAAAAGTTAATGGGAATTTAATAACAGATCAGAGGAACAACGTGAATCTAGTGATCAGTGTTAGCCTTATGAAAAGAGAGACAACCATGGTATGTTCCTCCTGATGTGGCTAATAGGAAATATACCATCATCAATTATGAGGTATTCTTACCAAAAAATCAAAACTGAATGCCAGATATGGTGGTGCATGTAATCACAGCACTCTGGGAGGCTGAGACAGGAAGATCACAAGTTCAAACCCAGCCTGGGCAACTTAGTGACTTAGGGAGACCCTATCTCCAAAGGAAAAAAAAAAAAAGAAAAAAAGCTGGAGATGTAGTTCAGTGCAAAGGCCCTGAATTTAATCCCCAGTACAAATACAAAAACAACAACAAAAAAAAACCCACCAAAAAACAAAATACAACTGAAATCTGATCTAGTCTTAAGAAAATGTAAGAAACAGAAAGATATATTAAGTGACACTTTTAGAGATTGTATCAGCAAAACCCAGACAGGGAAAGACTGTACAACAAATAACCTGGTTTCTTCAATAAGAAAATTATTACAAAGAAAAGAAAAGGAGATAGATCAGGGTTTTCCAAACATGACACTATTAGCATTTTTTTTTTTTTTTCTTTTTTGGTCCTTTAGAGACAGGGTCTTGCTACGCAGTTCAGGCTGGCCTTGAGCTCACTTTGTAGTCCAGGCTGGTTTCGAACTCACAATGATCCTCTTGCCTCGGCCTCCCTAGTGCTGGGATTACAGGCGTGCACCACCACGCCCAGCTACTGTCAGCATTTTGAGATAGCTTTGTTGTAGAGTCCGCCCGATGCATTGTTGGATGTTTGCAGTATCCTTGGCCTCTGCCCACTCAATGCAAGTGCACCTTCCCCAGTTGTGACAGCCAAAATTTCTCCAGACATTGCCAAATGCCCCCTTGGGGACAGAATCTTTCCACAGATACCCCTTAGGGTTCCAACATTATCCAAATGTAGTATGTGGGTCTTATCTGTATTTTTATTTGGATCAAACTACTATAAAAAATATTAAGATAACCAGGAAAATATGAACACTGATTATATACTTGACAAAGATTTTATATATGGCAATGATATTGTGGTTGTATTTTTAAAAAGAATCCTTTTATGCTAAAGTATTTATTGATAAAGTCATATAGTATGATATTTTAGGGGTTTTGGGGGGAGTGCTTGGGAATTGACTCCAAAGTCAATTCAAATTGACTCCAAAGTCAAGTCACTGAGCTATATCTCAACCCTTCCTAAAATATTGTCTTAAGGCAAGGTCTAACTGAATTGCCCATGCTAGTCTCAAAATTGTGATCCTTTTGCCTCAGCCTCCCAAGTGTTGGGATTACAATAGGTATGCACCACCATGCCTGGTGAAATTTTTCTTCCTAAGAACCCAGTGAAAACTGGCCATATGGTGCATGCCTGAATCCCAGTACTTGGGAAGCTGAGGCAGGAGGATCACCACAAGTCTGAGGCAAGCCTGGGCTACATAGTGAGTTGGGGCCAGCCTAGGCATCTTAGCAAGACACTATCTCAAAAGAAAACCAAAACCAAAACCAAAACCAAAACCAAAACTAAAAAGAAAAAAAAGAACCCAGTGGTCATAAGTGAAATAGCTGAAGTAAGATTAGGTATGAGTGGGTAATTATTGAAGCTGGTAATACAGTATATCTCATTGTTTTTTTGTTTGTTTGTTTTGAGGCAGGGTTTCACTATATTGTACAGGCTGGCCTTGAACTCGTTTATGTAGCCCAGGCTGCCTCAAACTCATGGTGATTCTCTTGCTTCAGCCTCTTAAGTGATGGGATTATATAGACATGTGCCACCACATCCAGCTGTATTTTACTGTTTTGTCATGTATTTTGAAATTTTCTGTAACAAGCCTTTCTAAAAGGTCACTTGAGGGTGGTGGTGTGCCAACTACCAGTGATGACTAGCATTTTGAGTGAATTAGGTCCCCACCTGTAGAAATAGATATATTTCTCCCCCAGGTCAGGCATCATCCTCATGGGGGGATCTACCTGAGGGCAGATGTGATGAGCATGGGTCATAGCAGAGCCTGCTATTAGGTTTTGCCTATCACCTCTGAATTAAAGGGAGGCTTTAAAGGCTGTGAAAAGTAGTAAAAGGCTGTGGGCTTTGGAATCAGATGGGTCAGGTTCAAATTCTGCTTCTGTCATGTGATGCTAGACAAATCACAGGTCCCTTAGGCTCTGTCAGCTCAGTTCCACATCTTGATGTGGTTGTGAGGGTTGAGCCAGATCATCTGTCAGTATTCTGATAGAAAGGAGATGCTCCAGAGCCAGGCGTGGTGGTGCATGCCTGCAATCCCTGCACTCAGGAGGCTGAGTCAGGAGGATCGTTGCAAGTTCAAGACCAGCCTGAGCTACAAAGTGAGTGCAAGGCCGGCCTGAACTGCACAGAAAGACCCTGTCTCAAAAAGATTAAAAAAAAAAAGGAAAGGAAAGGAGATGCTCTGGAAATGCTGGCTGGTGATTAAACTAGTAACTAGGAAAAGGGAGTTGTCTGGAGCAGAGGCCATAAGAGCTGAGGGAAGAAACCAGCTTGCTTCAGTGGGGAGGGAGGCATTGAGGAAGCCATTACCTGAGACTTTGCCCTTTTGGAGAACCTCACTCGTGGCCCGAGCCACAAAGATGATCCCCTCGTCGTCCTCCTTCTCTGTCTCTGAACTGTTGCTCTCCTCTTCCTCCTCAGACTCCACAGTTAGTATCACAGCAGCTGGACAGGGACAAGAGGTGAGCTGGGGTTGCCAGAGCAGCAGCTGCCTGTTGGTAGCACACAACCCCAAGCCAGCTCCTATTCCCACAAGCAGAGCCCATGTTAGCAGAGGCACTGCTGTCCGCTGGCTGTTTTGGACAAAGGCCTTGGAAGTAGCAGGTTTGAGAAGAAGAGAAGGGAGACTACAGAGCCTGAGGAGGCAACTGGAAGGAGCTAAGTCCTCAGGGAATGCCGTGAAGGTTACACTTTCCAGGTCCCCTTCGAGACCCCACCACTGACTAACAACATAAGAACCTGGAGGGCTAGAAGGCCCATTAATACTCAGCTCATAGAGAACTCTTCTGATTTGTTTTGTTTTGTGGTACCGGGAACTGAACCCAGGGCCTTTGTACTGACCTACATCCCCAGCCTTTTTTTTTTTTTTTTTTTTTACTTGGGTCAGGGTCTCACTAAGTCACTAAATTGCTCAGGCTGGATTTGAAATTGCAGTCCTCCTAACTCAGCTTCCCAGAGTCCTGGGATTATAGGTGTATGCCACCATAGCCAGCAGTGACTGGTTTTACAGATGGGACACTAGGGTCCAGGGTCCCCCAATCCTTAAAGGCCCAGCCCAACCTCCTTTTCTCTATGATCTTTTCCAAATTCTTGGAGCCCATAAGTCATAGTTACCAATCAGGTGCCTTCTATCACACACTGCATAGTAAATGCTTTAAACATTCCCAATGTTGAAGGCAAGCATGGTTGTTTAGTCCCTGAGGGAAGAGCAGCACTGGTGTACCCAGAGGAGGTCCTCCAGAATCCAGGCCCTATTCTTTCCCTCCTCCCTCCCATCCTCAAGCCCACCCCCATTCCCTGCTTGCCTGTGTCCTGAAAGCCCAGGTCTCGAGCAGGTTTCCCATTTATAGCCTCAGCATTGGCCACACCATCCTTCTGAGGACCAAAAAAGAAAACCTGAGCTTCCGAGCCTGGCTGTACACCTACCTTTGTAGGGTCAACAGAAGGAAAAGTTTTCCCAACCCAGCAGGGGAAGGAGTTTGTGTCAGTCCCAATGGCTGTTCCATCCCACCATCCCTTTGCCAGCCAGCCAGAAACCCACAACCCAGCAGGGGCTCAATGCGTCATTCTGGGATGACTGGGGGGGGGGCGCTCCTAGAGTTGTCCCTCCAATGGGTCTTTCTCCTGCTATTTTATCTCCTGTACCAAGTGACCTTGGGCGGACTCTCCTTACTCTTCTGAGCCCCAGGAGGATCTAAAAGGGAACCCACACTGATGCCGTTAGCAAATCCCTAGGGATGATTCAACTAAGGGGTCACATAGGCTGGAATCCAACACTCGGGAGCTCAAAACTGCATGCTATCAGCCTCCAGACTCAAACCTAAGTCCCAAAGAAAGGACATGCCTTCTTGCGGCCAGCCTTGTGGGGTCGTGGCTTGTTCTTGGTGAAACAAATGTTGTGTTTGGTGGACTTAAAGGACTCCAGCCGTCGCTTCATGTTCTGCTGAAACACCTCCTTGTCCTGCCGCTCCTGTGCATCCTCAGAGATGAAGTGGCGGCTGCAGCTGGCTTTGTACTGGCAATGACAGCCCCACCCTGCCATGAGGCTGGGTGCCTGGGCCTTCCACAGGAACCCCAGGCCACAGCCCCAACACATTCTGCCAGCCCAGCTTTTCCAGAGCTAGCCATGGATTAAAGAAAAAAAAAAAAAAAAAAAAAAAAACAACAGAATCCAGCCAGCCAGATAGTCTGGGTTCTCACTAAAGAAAACCTTCCCTTTATCCTAGAATTTATTCCCCCTAAACTCTGCTTTCCCCATCCTCTGCTGTTCTTTTCCCAGTTCTCTGATTTAAGTCACAGGAGGTAGGGGACTATGTGTTTTGTCCTCTGTGGCTATTAGGAGACCATGGGAACCATATCCTTCTTTGTACCTCCAAGTGAGTATGGTCCATATACCTAGCCCATCTATCCCCTTCCAGCTATAGAGGATCCTCTCTCAGGCTGGCCTCTCCATCTAGCCTTTTCAGAAACCACCACCAGACAGCATCTATGCATCTGCTTTGGACTTCTAAACTATGTCCCCCGACATCTTGGACTCTCTTGACCCAACACTGACCTATGTACTTCAGAGCCACCCTCTTCATACGGTCTTAACTCTTTCTTATAAAGATCAACCCCACTATGTACAGACTCAGCCTACCCCTGTCCCTGCCCTTGGCAACTAAGCAATCTTTTCATTATCCAGTGGTAGATAATCCCCCAAAACCCTGCCAAGAGTATATCAAATCACCTGTGTGCTTCATATCCTCAGTCTGGCTCCTTTTGTATCTTTCATATTTTTGCTTCCTTAAACTGGCTCTTAAAAGCTTCCTGCAAATTTCCCATCTACCTTCCTCTACCTCTGCACACAGAGGTACCTCTCTCTCCTGGGAACAAAGGGGCCCATCAGGACCCAGCCCTGGCCTTGCCTTTGTTAAACTCACTTCTTCCTGGCTCCAGTTTTCTCTTTTCCCCAGTTTCTCCACTTTCCTGTATCTTTACTCCTTCCTTGCAACTTCCTCTCCACTTCCAGGCACACTCCTTCCCTTGCCTTCTTGAAGAATGCTTCTATTCATGACAATGCCTCCTTTTTATTGCCATTTATTAGTTGATTCTGATACTTTCCTTAATTCCCAGTTCTTTCTTAAATACCAGAAATGTGGCCCAGGGTTAACAAGTCCACAGCTGTTTTCTCTGGTCACCACTCCTGTGGCCTCTGCCTAAGCAGCATCATAGCCTCTACGCAGCCTCCAGGCCTGAGACACCATCTCCAAATGCTTCATCAGGGGTTCTTGTCTCACAGTATAACTAAGCGGATTCAGAACTGGTTGAGTAACCATACCCCAAAAATGCTTGATCCATGTCAGTCTGGAGGAAAGTCTTTAGTAGCATGCCACAGGGCTCTGTCCTCAGCTCTATCCTGTTCAACATTTTTATGTTGATTTAGATGAATACAAGGTTAACAGGCTTAGCAAATTTTCAGATGATATGAATCTGAGAAGTAGACATTGGTGGCAGATATAGTATCCAAACGATGGAATGATGGGCTAAATTAAATAAGATGACATTTAACAGTATAAGCACAAATTTACTCCAGTTCTTTTTAAACTGACTACACAAGAACTGAATGGACTGAATTTACTGACCAATCTTACACACACACACACACACACACACACACACACACACACACACACCAATCATGATATACTCCCTGATGTTAGACAGTAATACACAGCATACCAATTGAATATCCCTAAATCTGATCAGGTCTCTAAATTTAACAACCAGGAAATATGGGGGATGAAGGGACATGTTAAACAACACTGCAATATAATCAGCAAAATCAAGAAAATGGAAAATTCTTTAAAAACCAGTGATATTAGAAGAAAAAAATGATGCTGGCCTGAGAGCAGGAGGGCCACTGTGGAAAATGTCTTAACACCTTTGAAGGTTATTCTACAGAGTTTCAAAGAGTTAAATCAGGACCAAGATAAAGTATACAAGTTCTTCAATAAATAGCAAGGAGAAAATAGGAAGAAGGAACTATTAGAGTTTTTTTTCTTTTAATGAAAAGATATGTTTCTGAAATACAAAGTGTGGACTTTATTTGAATCCTGACTTGAACAAACTAGTAGGGAAAAGATACTTATGGAACACAGGCTGAATGATGTAAAAAGGAATTACTGTTGCTTTTTGGGATAATAGTGCTGATTTTGTTTTTTGTTTTGTTTTGTTTTGTTTTTTAAAAAAAAGGGTTCATGCAGCTAGGCATAGTGGCACATGCCTGTAATTCCCAGCACTCTCTGAGGCTGAGACAGGAGGATCCCAAGTTCTAGCCTAGCCTGGGCTACATAGACCATCCTATCTCAAAATAAAAAGGGCTGGGGATGTAGCTCAGTGTGGAAGCTGTGTACAATTCCTGTTATCAAAAAGGAATTCCTGCCACCTAAAGATACATATTGAAGAAAGAAGGGCCCCAGGTAGTAAGCCAAAGCTGGGCTGCAGGCAGACTATGGCAAGTTCTAGAACTAGAAGGGTGAGGGAGCCTTCTAGCTGGCCTTAGCCAACCACAAATAGAATAGCACCTTCTGTTCTGAGCCTTCTTTCTCAGAGTTGCTGGCCTGAGGGCAGGAGGGCCAAGGTGGAAACTGTCTTAAAGCCTTTGAAGGTTATTCTATGCAACTTCAAAGAGTCAGATCAGGACCAATGGATGCAAATTAAAGGAAGCCAATCCTGAGTGAACTTTTTTTTTTTTAGACAGGGTCTCATTATGTAGTTTAGGCTGGCCTTGAACTCACTTTTGTAGCCCAGGCTGGCCTCAAACTTTGGTAATCCACCTGCCTCAGCCTCCCAATGCTGGGACTACAGGCATGAGCCTCCAGGCCCAGCTAGTCTCAAGATTCTAGGTCTGTTAAAACTGCCAGGAATGGTAACAGCAGGCTTCTTTTCAAGAGGTACAAGATAATGGCTTGCTGCCCCCTTGTGGGGTTGCAACAGATTCCCTCCCAGATGGGCTGGGCCTTTCCAGACCCAAAGCTTTAGGATTTGCATGGGACTAACTCAGGTTACCTAAAACAGATGGTTGCCCACCTCCTTGCTAAACTGGCCCTCCATCATCTCTTCCTTTCCCCCCAGGGCCAACATTCACCTCACCCCCATCCTACATGCTCCTGTCCCTCACCCAGCTCTAATATATGCAGTGCTTCCTTTCAGCTGTCAACTCAAACCCTCTTTATGATCTGCTCTCTGCTACCACAGAAGGCCAACCCTTCCTCCAACAAAACAAAACACATGGATTTCTTACTGCCCACAGGATGAAAACCTGTACTCTTCAGTCAGGCATCTACAGTTGGCCATAGCTGGCACCAACCACCTCTTGTGTCTCCGATCACACCTCCCGAGACCAACCCCCACCACCCTTGGGTCTCTGCCTTGACTGCTCTCACCCTGCGGCGTGGCTTGTAGAGGCCTCCACTGAGCAAATGATGCATCGCGGCATCCTCTCGGTCCCGGCCGCTGCGTACTGTGTCAATCACCTGCAGATCTAGACATGCTCCACTGCCGCTTTCCCTCCTGCAGGAAGCAGGGACAGTGTGCTGGGAGGAAGCAGGAGCCACAGGCCAAGGTAAAGGCAAAAGCAAAGTTGCTGACAAATCTTTCCCAGAAGAGATTCAGAGAGAGGGCCAGCAGAGAGGAGCTTGGGGAAGGGAGAGAGATCTTAATGAACTCACAGCAGGTTGGTTACAGATGTCTCTGCCACAGAATTGCGGCTGGGCATAGAGGGCAGAGTGAGGCCTGTGGAGGACAAGACGTGGCCTCCCTGCAGGGGTCAAGACCAAAGTCAAACAGCAGTTAGATGGAGGGTGGCCCAGACAGTCAGAGAGCAATAAAAATAACTTCTTTTGCTTTTATGTGCTAGATACTATAAAAATATTTTAAATATTAAATCTACAAAATCTAACATAGATGCTCTTATTCCTGCTTTCTTGTGCCTGAGAAAACTGAGTCTCACACAATAAAAGTGATTTACCCAAGGTCACATGCCTGTAAATGGTAACACTTGAATCATACCTGCTAACTGCAGAATCCAGCTGTTTCCCACCTTTCTGTACTACCTGCCACTCTCAAGATGGGCCCCACGCCAGCCTGGTTCCTGCACCCACCTATGGAGCCAGCTAGGAATTTCCAACTCCCTGCTCACAAGCCTGCCTACCTGTTGTGCCTTTCCTGCTCCCCTGGCCATGTTCCCACCCACCACTGGCCCACCTGGTCCACGAAGCTGATGGCATCCCGGATGTTGAGTCTGTAGTACACATCCCAAATCTGGTCCCGGATACGGTAGGCTGACCGTCGCATTAGCAGCTGACTCAGGTACTTCTTGTCAAACTGCTCCCACCTACAGAGGATGCCAGGCCCAGCTCTGAGTATCATCCCCAAGGTCTGGCTGGCTGGCTCTTCCTCAGATGGGGCAGGCACATCACCAGCACTGACCTGGCTTTCTCATTATGGGTCTTAGCCAGGGAGAATCTCAGTGCTAGTCCCTGTTCTTGTGGAGTTTACAGTATTAGAGGGAAAGCCTGACATTAATTAAAATTATTACAAATAAGTGGAAAATTATAACCATGACAAGAAGCTACCAAGGACAGTCAGAATATTCAGGGATTTGTCCTACTTAGAGGCCAGGGAAGCTCTCCTAAGGAACTGATCCCCATGGTGAGACCTGAAGGATGAAAAGAAGTGAGAAGGTGGTGAGGGAGAGTTCTATCAGAGAAAACAACATGTCCAATGTTGTTCCCAGTGGCCAGGCTGAGGGATCATGTGGGTCCTAAGGCTCTAAAATAGGGTCAAGTAATTAGCAGGCAGACAGAGCAGAGTACAATGGGGCTGGAGTCTGGCAGGTGCCAAACCATGCAAGGCCAGGAAGGCCACACTGGGGAGACCTGTCTTATCCTGAGAGCACTGGGATGCCACAAAGGGCTCAGGCAGAGGTCATCCAGCCTGAACCTGGTTGTGTCCCTTCTTAGAAGGGTGGCACACCCCCATGCTGCCCTGGCTGGTGGGGCTGCTGCTGCTGCTGAAGGAGCCTCGGGGCAGCTCCCTCACCTGTCCCTCCAGTAGTGGTAGCCATGGTGCCCCACAACGTCCTCCACTGCAGCCAGAATGTGGTCAAAAGTCTAGAAGGGGGGTGGGTAGGGGGACTGGATCAGGACTTTGCCAAAATAGCAGAAGGGAGAGAGGGACAGGTGGAGGGATGGGGTTCTGGTACCCACGTGCTCATGCAGCTCCTGGTTCAGGGTAGGTTTGTGATGCTCACTCCTCTTCACCTTCAGCCACTTGACCAGAGGTTTGATGGTCAAGCCCTATGGACAGGCAGGAGGTGAGCCCTACCCTATTCAGTTCCTTACAGCCTCTCTACTCTCCCCACAATTAGGCCTCAGTTCTGTCCCCCCGACCCCACTGCACTCAAGGTCTGGGAAGTCAGGCCCCTACTTCCCCCAACAGGAAAAGCCCCTGTCCCATAGGCTCCAAGATCCCCAAGGTCTGCTGGACTCTTTCCCCACCTCGCTTCATAGGCACTCCCACCTGCACAATGACTGTGAAGAAGACCACCACAATAGTGGTGGCCACAAAGTAGTCCTTGGCAGGGACCTTGGTCCTGTCCAGTAGGATGACGAGAGCAAAGGCCACAGCCCCCCGCAGGCCCCCATAGGACATCACCACCTGGTCAATCTTGTCCAGAGGGACCAGCCGGAACTGATTCAGCACCCATGTCTGCAGGACTACACCTACAGCAGGAGGGAGGCCAGCAGGAGCAAAGCGTTGGGAATAGAGGACACTGGGAGTGGACGGCACCAAGTATCTGGGCTAAGGTGGCAAAAGATGGGAAAGGTAAACAAGGGGAAGGAGTGTTGGGAATTGGCAAGGATATAGACTCAGATTAGGGGGAAAAGCTGCCAGAAGAGGGGGCCTGGGGAGGAGAGTGGGGAAGCAGAGGGTGCCGGCAATACCGAGGGCTCGGAAGAACAGGATGAAGATGAGGGTGCCTAGCACCAGCCCGGAGTCCCAGGCCCATTTAGATGAATCTACAGCTGAGATGCCAAGCAGCATGAAGATGACAGTCTCAGCACAGCTGGCGAGGGTCTTCATTGTATATTTGACAGCTGTACGTGACTTATGGGAGATGTTGGCCTCCACATACTTCTTACAGCCCAGGCCACACATGGTCACCCTAGAAGAGGAACAGAAAGATAGGGCAAGTGAGGAGGGGTTCCAGGAGGCTCAGCCTCTGGGGTTTGAGCATGCTTCAGGAGAGAGCAAGCCCAGGGAGGCATGAAGACTACTAGTTAGTGATGGTCCTGGGATGAATCTAAATCTCCAAACTTCCCGCTCAGTGCCTCCTGGAGGGGAAAGGGAAAGAAACGTGCTCTGACTTGCAGACTCTGAGGCACCTTTTGGATGTTGTGGGCCCCACAGCCACCGTCCCCAGGCCTGAAGTTCACTTCTAGCTCAGCCCACATTCCAGAGAAACTTCGAGCAGAGGAAGATTAGGTTCCCAAGTCCCAGGGACAGTTCTGGGTATCCAGAGAGTTCTAGTTTATTTTCTCCCCAGGGACATTTGAACCACTCACTCCCACAAAGGCTCAGGAAATCCTATGGCCTCCTTAGGGTCCTGTTTTTGTCTGTATTAGGGGCAACCATCTCCAGTATTCCCTCCCAGCAGCCTATCTGCAAGGCCCCTAGGACTCACGCAAGAATGGCGGAGAGCGAGGCCATTTCAGCAGTGAGGTAGGCTGCGTAGGCGAGGAGGAAGACCAGCAGGGGCTCGATGATGCGGACCCGCTTGGTGAAGCGTGTGGTCAGAGCCAGGAGGAAGGCAAAGACTAAGCCCACAGCTGCCCCGCCCAGACTGACCACAAACAGGGAGGCTGGGGGAGGAGTGGGGTTGTCAGCATGACCCTGGCCCAGACCCTTCCTGGGCTGACAGTACTGCTGCCTGGCAGAAAGTGGAGGAGGATACCCACCGTGATCCCCAGGGTTTAAGATCCAGAATCAGGATCCCAGGTAAGCCCTTGCCCAGACCCCATTTCTCCACCCAAACAGCCTCTATTGTCCGGATGCCAGGAAGGTGGGACTCACAACCTGGGGGAGGCAGACTTCCAATGCCAGCTAAAAGGGGGAAATACTGACCGACTCCCTTCAGGTAGTCAGTGGTGCGCACGTTAGTAGAACCCATCTCCACAAAGGAGTTGCAGACCTTATACAGCACCTGAATGAGAAGAGTAGATTCAGGAGTGAGGGAGAGGCAGTAACTGCGGCTGCTGGGATGGGAGATAAAGCTAAAACCCTATTTCTTCCCTAGAAGACCAGGAAGGTCTGAGGCTGCTTAGATGTACAACTGGTCAGAGCATGGCAGCCTGGGTCCAGGGGATAGCTGAGCGCTCTTACCACAGTGACTGCATCATTGAGCAGGGACTCGCCAAAGACGATGATAAAGAGAGTTTCATTGACATGCACCTCCTCAAAGACAGCCAGCACAGCCACAGGGTCCACTGCTGAGATGAGGCTCCCAAACAGCAGGAAGTCCAGCAGGCCAGCTTGTACCCTAGAGGCTACAGAAGGAGAGATGGAGGAGGGGCCAGTAACTAGTGAATGTGACTGTCTCTTGTGGCACTCTTGGGACTAGCCCAGATGCCACTCCCACTGATAAAACAGGAAGCCCCAACAGTACCCAGGAACATTGGGAGAGCATTGGTCTGCAAGTCAGGAGACTTCAGCCAAGCTGTCTATGCCTGAAGCATGGCTTTACTACTCACCAGCTGTGTCATACGAGCTCTGTCACTGTCACATGACTTTTTAGCCATGCATCTGACTACCTCCCAAGATGACTGCAAAGAACAACCCAGGAGATGGCTAAGAAAGGCCTATATATGCTGAAAAGCTAAAGTAGCACTGGTAATTATTAGAAACTGCAGCGACAGTACTAGTAACTACCAGCATGTGGAAACTGGTTGCTAATTGGCTTTATTAGGGAGGATAACAGGAGAGAGTTTTCTCCCACACCTGTCATTTTCAGCCAAAGGGATATGACACACACAGCCCTCAGCAAGAAGAGACCTGAACACAGGATGAAAAACACAAGAGGGACTTGAACATGTTAAATAATTTCAGTGATCCTCCATTTCTCTGTGAACAAAATGGGAAATAACACTATCTACCTCAAAAAATTATTTAGCCAGTGCTTAATACATAGTAAGCACCTAACAACTATTACCTACTATTAGAATTACTGCTATGACCAGGATCTGATGTCTTCCCTTCCCTTGTCCCAAGTATTTCACTATCTTATTATAAAAACCAGGTAGAAGTCCCCCGCTGGAAATTTCAAACTTCTTTTTACCTTGGAAAAACTCTAATAATCAAAACGAGGAGTGAATCAATTTCTTGGGTGAGGAAACAAAGAAGGGAGTAGGAGAAGGCCTAAAAGCAAGGAGCCTAAGTAAAATGAAGGCTAACCTTGGACCTGATATCAAGCAAATTTAATGGGCTCTACTTTCTCATTTATTAAATGGGACAAATTACACACCAATAAGTTGCTATGGAATCAATGAGATAAGGAGACAATGCCCATTGTACTTTCAGGCATTTTAAGGATATACAATATGTATTTTAAAATAATAATTAAAAAATAGGAAAATACCCTGACATGATCTTAGCAGAGTCAGAACACTAGGCCTTTGTAGGAATGGTGAGCTGTGCTTTAGGGAGTAGGGCTGGCAAGTGGCAGTGTGGTAATACAGGCAGGGACACCAGAGTGATAATGCAGGCTCCTCTGCCTTGGCAGCCCACACACAGCTGGGAGCCAGGCCCCTGCTCAGCTGTCATGCTGCAGAAGCACAGACTTAACTGGCAGAGAGCTAGATGAAGGCTGAGGCCCATTTGGAACACTGCCTTGCACTCCAGGTAGGAGGGACCTAAGATGGAGCTCCCAGAGCATGGTTCTTGCCAGCATGGGACCTTCAGAGCTGGAGGAAAGAAGAGACAGGAAAGCCTCACTTTGCCAGCCCAGGTTTCAGGGTCACTTACCCACAAGTCCAGCCTGCCGTAGGCCCCAGAGGGCGGCGCCTGTTGTGAAGGCATTCCAGAGTGTTCCCACCACAGCATAGGTGAGGATGGCACCCAGATTGTCAAAGAACAGCCGACTAGGCATGAAATAGCCTGAGTCCAGCACGATAGGCGGCAGCAGGAAGAGGAAAAAGGTGCCTGGCTCCAGCTGGTACTCAGCTTTCTTGGCCACAGCTAAAACAATGCCCCCTAGCACCAGGCCCAGCAAAATCAGCAGGCAGCTCTCAGGGACCAGAGACGTTACTTTCCGAGACAAGTGAAACACTACAATGCAAGAAGAAGGCAGCAGGTATGAGCTTTTGGATTACATATCAACCTATAACCTCCCAGTCTTAGGAGGTTACTCAAAGTCAGAAGCCCTAACTCTGGGACAAGGAAAGGAGAAAGGAAACTCAAAATTTCTACAATCTCTAACCTCTAGCACTACAAACGCTCCTCTGCAGCAAGGTCTTTACTTGCTTCGTCCTTTTCTGGAAATTCCCCCTCCTTTCTTCCTTCATCCTCAGGGGACCTCATCTATCTCTGATCTCCTTTCCTTACTCATTATTTGAATGCTACCAGGTCCCATTCAAAACATAGCTGGAAAAATCAGATCCAAAATTAAGCTGCTTGGATTCAAGGATTAAGTCTTCCATTAACTTGTTCTATGATCTTGAGGCAAATAATTTTACCTGTCTCACCTTCAGTTTTCTCATAAGCAAAATTGAAGTAAAAATAATAATGATCTCATAGGATCGTTGTGAGGATTAAATAACCTAGTTAAAAGCATGTAGCACATTGCTTTATAGTAAGCAGTCAATTATTATGATAAATGCTATTATATTACATATGTAACATAGTTAGGGCTCCCCAACTATAACGAATATTGTATCTTTTAAGAGAAAAAAGAGTACTGTAGGTCTTCCAGCCCAATGTACTTTTCATTATATGGGAATGAAAAGGAATTGGTTGTTTGAAAAGCTTTGGGTTTAGCAGTTAGATCTCTAACTTCTTCCCACGTTATCTCTGTGTGATCTCAGGTAAATTACTTAATTTAGTTGAACTTCAATTTCTTGTTATTATGGGGGAAATATCTGTCACAAAAAAGTGAGACTAAAATGACACAAAGTGTGCAAATGTGCCTAGCATGGTGACAGGCATAGAGTAGGTTGTCAACAAATATTAACTAAATATGAATCTGGGGGGGAATAATAACAAATCTGTCCCTAGAAAAAGAGGATGGGGGAAAGTTTCTAGCACTATTGCTTGCCACTCCTACCTTTGTCCCCTAAAATACAGATTTCCTTTGGGTCCTCAGACCATAAATGAACACATCTCACCCCATATAATCCCTAGGGTGCCGGTGGAGGAGGGGCCTCCTGTTAGTCTATATGAGACAGTGCCTATGCCAAGACAGTGCCTGTTGGCAGCTGTACCCAAAGGGCCTAGAACAGTGCCTGGTACACAGTGGGCTCTACATAAATATCTGTTGAATAAAAAGAGACAGATTTCCTAGAAATGAAGCTGTGAGGGGGTTCTGAACATTCTGTCTACCTTTACCCATCTCTCTGAGGATTCTCCTCTTCCTCTAGCTGGTAAGAAATAGGCTGTCTTCTTTCTCCATAGGTGTCATCCAAACTAGAAAAAGCACTATAATATATGGGGAAAACAATTGTCACTATAAGCCCTAAGATAGGAACTGTCCCACAACTCATAGGCTTCTCAGCAAAAATAATCCTTAGCTCCAAATCTGAGGCTGTTCTCACCTTGCTCCAGGGCCAGTAGGATGAACTCAGCCATACCTTACATTCACCCCTGGCTTTGGTGTCCCTTCTTCTCCTTTAGGGACCCTATTTCACCCTCATCTTCTCAGCATGCACCAGCCCTGCAACCCAAGACCCATCAGAAACGCCAGGTCTCTGGCAGAATCAGGCTCCCTGAAAGCATTTTGAGTCCTACTTTCCATTATTAATCTCCAGCAGCCAAAGCAGAGTGGAAAGTTCTGTTCCTGCTGAGGCACCCACCCCCAAGCAGTGTCTGGGAGAGAAGGGGGCAAATTCTAGACTGTGGGATTCTACAGGAAGGCTGTATTGGTGAGACTGGAGTACAGGCTGTGCCAGCATAGATGGGGAGTAAGTAGCAACACTCAGCTATAATTAGTCACCCCCACAGCAGAGCCTGCACAACAGGGAGGAGGAGGGTCTCTGGTGGGAGGAGGGACCACTGGCTGATCAGACAGGAGGAGGGAGCAGAAGCAAGGAAAAGCAGCTCTATTTAGAAAAAAGCCTGAATAAAACATAGCCTTCAGCATTTGTTGTGAGGACTGAAGGAGGTCAGATGCATAAAAGCACCTAGGATGGGCAGCACACAGTAAAGCACCAATAAATGAAAGTGCCTCCTCCCCAGCGCTGAAACCCAAACTCAGAGCCCTCCACATGCTAGGCAAGTGAGCTACATCCCCAGCCCCAAATGGAAGTTTTTCTTAAGCCTTGAAGTGGGAGAATATGAACTTGAATAAGGGGGGAGGGCCCCACACTTAGGTACTGGCATCTTAAAGTAGGAAGCAGAGGTGAGCTAGAAGGAAGTGGCAGTTTAGTATCCCAAGAGAATACACTCTTAGACCTGGGTCTCCAACGAAGGTTAATTCCTCAGGATCAGGATGCCTGGGTTCCTGAAGACTACCATCCCCTAGGTGTCCCCATACGTCCTCACCTCACTGCTGACAGCTCTCTGGGAGGCTGGGCATTGGTGGGGGCAGGCTGTACTGAGGGCCCACTGCAAAGGAAAGAGGGAAGCAGAAAGGGCAGAGGAGCCCAAAGATGGAGCTGAGAGGTGGGGGCGGCTTCAAAGAGGCAAATTCTCAGAGTTCCTGGCGGGGAAAGGGTGAGGCGGGAGACCCACAAGAGGAGACGCAGGAACTGCGTGAGAGCTGGGGTTTGGGTAATCAGAGCCTAAGTTCCAGCACTGTGCAAGACCCTGGCCAGGATGGGGGACCAGGCAATTAAGGGCAGGTCCGCTGTTGGCCCCTAGTCTGACACACGCAAGCACACATGCACTCACCTATTTTGGCCAGGCTGGCCACCAGGATCCACAGGGCCACCAGGTAGGGAGCCTCCACCTCGTGCCACTGCCACCGGAAGAGCGCCAAGCCGGAGGGAGATTCGCCCGGCGCCCCAGGCTCTGGGGTGGGCTCTTCGGCCGCCCGCACCCCAGCTAGGGGCAGCACGAACAGGAGCAGTGCGGCGCGCAGCATTCTGCAGTCTGCCTAGCCGTCCTCCGGCACCGCACGGCCGCCAGCCCCGCGTCTCCGCTGCCTCCGCCGCCACCTACCGGCGCCCCCGCGTCACAAGCACGTGGGACCCTCTCCCCCCAATCCCCGCTCCGATACCCCTGGGCCAGGTAGGGACTCCAAGACCCTGCCCCGGACTCCGTTAGTCTGGATCCATCCCTCCATCCCCTCCAGACTAGCCCCAGGGGCGGAAATTCCCCAGCCCAGCCCTTCCCCAATCCTGAAACCTAGTCCTTGGAGTTCGCTTTCCCAAACTGCCCCTCGCCCAGATTCAGAGAGGTAAGCGGCCACCGCCCTCCGGGGACAGCCGCCGGGGACAGCACGTGGCAGGAGGGGCGGAGGGCCCTGGGGACTGGGCTCGGCTGGGGCGCGGCTCTTTCGCAGAGAGCACCCGTGCCTGGAGCCGCGGCCGCAGGCTACGCATTGCCCCCATACAGACGGCAGGAGTCAGTGCGCCGCCCTGCGCGCTGTGGCCCTCCACCTGGGACCCCCTTCAGCCGCACCCCCGCTGCACCAGCAGAACTGCGCACGCGCACTACGCGCTCCCAGAAAGCTGTGGACAACGTTACCCTCAACATCCTAGAAACTCTGAGCTGGGCTCGGCTCATTCTAGGCTGGAAAAAAAGACTTCCTCTTATCTCTCAAACGGAAAGGCTCTTTTCCCTCAAACTACAGGGTACTACAAGCCTTTTATACAAAGCCGGAGAGAACCTATGGAATTCCCAGTAAACTAAGAGCGACCCACCCAACTTTAGAGCATTTCTCTTATCTGACTCCAAACAGAGGAAGATTGTCTGCTCTTTTTTCATTCAAACTAAGGAGCACCCAACCACTTCTCCCAAACTGAGGGGAACATGTACTACCTGCCTCCTCAAACTGACTCATCCTATTCTTTTTCGAGAAATAGCTACCGTCCTTCTTCCCACTACTTAAAGGAACTGATTCTGTTCTTCCTTTAAACAATCGCATCTAGGGCGCCGGGCTAGCTCAGTCGGTAGAGCATGAGACTCTTAAAGACTGGCATCTATTTTCCCCTTTTTGCTCCAAACTGAAAGAGACCCCTTCTTACTGTTTTCCCGAAGTGAGGGAAATAATTTCATTGATATCTCAAGCTGTAGGACTTAGGGCCTAAACGATGGGAGAACGGACCAGCCACTGTCTGAAGAAACTTCCGCCCCACCGGTTCTAACATTCTCCAGCGAAGATCAGCCTCACTTACCCCTGACCCTAAGAAAGTCTCTCCCCGCTTCCCGCGCCCTCCGAACGGGGGCGAGCTCGAGTTTTCCCGCCTCCTAGTGAGGAAACTAACGGGATCGCGCCCGGCTCTCTGAGTGGCTGTCGTAAGCCCCGCCCCCGGCCGTGTACCCCTAGCGCATGTTCTGGGCCTTGTCTTGGCCCCACCCCCTTCCTCGGCCCCGCCTGTCTGGCTCCGCCCCTCCAACAGCGTCCGGTCCAGCCCGGCCCAAACAGCAGAGTCAGTCGAAGCGAAGCTGCCCCCTGTCAGGAACTCTGAGGCGCGCGGTGTGAGCCGGTGGCCGAGCCATGGCGGGCGAGGAAGACTGCGGGGACGGGGAGCCGGTATCTGTGGTGACCGTAAGGGTGCAGTACTTGGAAGACACCGACCCCTTTGCATGTGCCAACTTCCCGGAGCCACGCCGGGCCCCCACCTGCACTCTGGACGGAGCGCTGCCTCTGAGCACTCAGATAGCCGCACTGCACCGCCTGTTGGGGGCGCCACTTAAGGTGAGGGTGGTGGAGAACGGTTGAGGCGATTGGTGGTTCAGATATGCGCCGTGAAAGCCAGTGGAAGGCGCCTCTCTGGGAGAAGTAGGATCGGGTCCTATGGAAAAGTCTTGGGCTGGAGTTCCAGGGTCCTCGCTGCTCCGCCAGCGGGGGCTGGGGCTCTCAAGTTGAGATCTCAAAGAGAGGACATGGGAGTTGGTGGTCTGCGCCACCCTTACTGCTCTCTCAAAGTGAGGTCCTCTGAAGAGGTGCCCGGGGTCCGCTCGCTGTCCTCTGCCACGGTGGCTGCCCTAGGCACGGTGACTAGTAGTTCAGACCCCTGCAGACCTAGGGGGCGGGGCTGGGGAGGGAGCAGTTTCCAGGTGAGGTGGAGGTGGGACTACAAGGAGAGGCGGACCGGGGGCGGGCCTCTGAAGGTGGCCTGGGCTGGGGCGGTGTGGAAGCTGGGATGGAACGTGTGGGACCGAATCTCTCCGTTGTAGTTGTGGGCTCCGGCTGGAAGGACTGGCCAAGAAGGGATTCTGTGGGGAGAGGGGAGTCCCCGGGGAGCGGCCGAGCCTGAGCTATGCGGAGCGCGGGAGGCTGCAGGGGTGGAAAAGCCCTTTGAGTCACCACCCCTACCCCTCACCCGCAAACGGCGGCCAGCGCCTGGAGGGGAGGAGGCAGGCCCGGCTAATTTTAAATCGCCGGCCTGCCCTACTTTGTCCGGATCCCAAGGCCGACTTTGCAGCATGCGGGAGAGGCTCTTTTCCAGATGACCTTCCCTTCGGCTAGCAGCGCTCAGCCCCCCGCAGGCAGCCCTTTCCGGCGTTCTGTTTCCGGGCCAGGACTCTGGGAGGCGCACTACCACTCCTCAGGATTCCGCGACAGCCAGTCTGCCCGGAGTTGTGGGGAAGAGGAGAGATGTCGGTGGGGGTGCCTCAGCTGTGCCCTGAGTTGCGCAAACATGCCCCTTAGGCCCGGGGTCTCCCCTGGAATGTGCCCCAGGCGCCAGGCCCCCCGGCCTGCATTCCTCAGGCAGCCCCGCCTCTGCCTCCGGGTGCAGATGGGAGGGATGGGGGTACTACAGGCTTGGGGAGTAAAGCTTCAAGGCCACAGCTGGAAAGAAACAGCAAACGGCCCACCTCTGTTGTTTTGATGCAGCCCTTTCCTGTCTTGCGAGATTGAGGGGACAAACTGAAGTGGACCTAAAAGAAGTGTGTCCAGCCAGAGGCCACCTAGCATTCAGACAAGAGAGAAAGGGGTATCCCACTGAGGCTGTTCAGGCTCCTGGAACTGCTGGTTCAGAAATAACGAGGGAGCACGAGAAGGACGATAACATTCCTCCTATTTCCCCACTGTAGGACGGGACCTAGTGCCCTTCTTCACATCTGGGGACAGTTCTGAGAGGTCAGCTGAAGGAGGAGGCTGGGAGCCATCCCTTCTCATTTAGAAACCCATCTCCTACATGTGATTAGCATGCACAAGGCCGTGGGTTGAATTCCCAACACCACAAAAAAGGGCAGAGGGGCATTTCCCCACCCTACCAGGTGCCTGTCCTCTGCCTCCTAGCTGAGGATATCACTGAGCTTCATAGAGAATGTAAATCACCTGTCCCCAACTCGGGGTGTCCTTGTCTGTCCCTTTTCAGGATCTCCCACCTGGAGTACCTGACGACTGTCTTTTTCCCCCTTTGAGAAGATATGGGGACTGGATGGGCATGCTAAGGTACAACGGTGCCTGGAGTCAGGACTCCCTGGAGCTGGCAGCTTTTCCAGGAATGGTCAGATGTACTATGATGTGCTTGTCCCAAATATAAACTGTGACCACAGGCCCAGAATAGAAGGCTGGAGGAAGAAGGACTGAGAATAGGGCAGAGGAGACATCAGAGAGCTAAGGGAGGGGGGAGCAGAGCCCCTCTTCAGGAAATGTCAACAGCTGGTTCCTCCCCTCATCCTGTGAGTGAGTGCCCCAGAGTCCCAGACATGACTGAGGTCTGCCTTCCTAGCCTTCTAGAAGGGAGAGATGGCCCCCAAACCCAGGTATCCTTGCCCCAGGTTGTAGGGCAGAATTAAGTGGGAAGTGTTCTCTATTCACTATTTCATCCTGTGTACAGCTGTTTGAGATCCTGTGTACAATTGTCCAGGAGAGGATAGCCAAAATACTTCTACCCTCCCACTCTGGGCATTGGCCTCTATCATCCCTGCACCCTTCCTGGGTGTGTATAGAGAGGCTGGGCCTCTCTCTCTCTGGGGCTCCACCCCCACACCCCATTGGCCTTAGATTTCCCCTGGGGGCTCCCTTTCAAACCATTCAGAGCTGGAAGTTCTGAGAAAGCCCTTGCTCATTTCCTCTGAGTCTAGGAGGAAGCTCCTGGCCACAGCCTCTGACTCATCTCCTGGCCTCATTGGTTAGAGGGAAGCCTAGCAGTGCCTTGGGTCAGGCCTAGTGTCCCCAGCTGAGCTCAGAAGTGTTTTTCTTCCATCTGTGCAAAAGTCTGTCCCAGCCCCATGGGCTTGTTCCTGTCCCCAGGGGAGAATTGACTCTCTGGCATCTTATCTCCAAACCTAAGGACTTGCCCCTAACCCAAAGGAGAATTGGTCTTCTGGCATCTTATCTCCTAAACCAGAGGTACCCAGTCCCACTTTCTTCTCTGGGAAGGGACTCAAGAGCCTCCTCTGAGACCCAAAGGCGCAGCCACATTTGGAATAACTCTGACTTCTCCCTGGGCTCTGAGAAAAGGGACCTGGAGCACTTCTCTGACTTTTCCCACAAAGGCTGAAGGAGTCTCTGCCTAGAAACAAGGATAGCCCTACAAATCTGGTCATTACCAGCAACTCTGTTTTCACAGACAGTGATGGCTAAAGATCAGAGTAAGACAGAAGTTGCTGTCCTGGAATGTATCCTGACTGGATTCACCTATCCAGCCTCTGTTTATCCTTTTAGAGCATTTGTGACAAAGGGGTGGAAATGTAAACCTGACCTGCTAAGGTAGAAACCAACTGAAAGGGTCCTGAGGGTTCTTAAACAGGGTCTCTGATGATGACCTGAGCTCTTTAGTCCCTGCTATGGGAGTCTCTTGGAAAGACTGGAAGATTGGAGTATGGGCATGTGTTGCTTTCCCTGAAGCCAGTGTGTTCCATCTGCTAGTCTTTCTGGGCTAGAGAAGCTAGGTGCAGCCTGGTGAGGGACGCTAGGACCCAGGTCTGTGGTGGTGTTACCCTAGCCTATATGTTGTGTGTTCATTTGTGTTTCCTCTTGCTGGAACTGGGAGGACCAGTTTGGGGTATTTGCAGAGTCCAGGAAGCTGAAGGGGCAGTCTCCAGCCCTCACTCTACCTCTCCTTCAGGGTTCCCTGGAGCACTTCCAAGGCTCATCTACCCAAGATCTGGGTCAGGTAGCTGTGCTGCCTGGAGCAATTTATTAAATTTCTGAGTATTGACTTCCGTACCTGTAAAAAGATTAGCAGGAGAATCAAGAAATAGGCAGCCTGGTATCCAGCACAGAGAAGGCATAACAAATGTGGATTTCCTCCCCAAGGCCCATCCATGTCATCTCATCCAGGAAGTCACAGTCTAGCTGGAGACCCATGATAATAGGGAAGGGAGATTTTCAGAGTACAGGGTCCTGTGTTTATAGAGAAGGAGTTGAAAGAGGCAGTGGACCAATTATTTCCTAAAACAGAGTCCTTCAGCATGTAATGCTGCCCTCAGCTCCACCTTCCTTGCTCCCTGCCCCTGAGGGTTCATTCCCACCTGATTAAACTGTTACAAAAAACATTAAAGAGTAAACTCTATGGTTCTGTAACCTTGACCCTGCTTATAAAACCATATATAAAGTAATCCTAGCACTCTGGGAAGCTGAGGCAGGAGGATCACAAGTTTGAGCCCAGCCAGAGCAACTCTGCAGCTTACCAAAACCTGGTCTCTAAACAGTAAGAAGGGGCTGGGGATATAACTCAATGTAAAGGTCCTGGGTTTAATCCCCAGCGTCACAACAACAGAAATACATGTATCGGGGAACCTGGGGTGTAGCCCAGTGATAGCATATGCAAGGCCTGTTCCATCCCCAGCATCACAAAAAGAAAAAAAAATTAATAAATTATCTGTAACCACTGGGTTTAGCCTGCCAGAACAGCCTGAGCCTGGAAAGTAAAGTGGACGGGAGGCTGAAGTGTGGGGCCAAGCCTGGGAAGAATGGGGAGGGACTCTGTCCCAAGATAGAGACCGGAGATGTGAAGAAGACAAGAGCCAGAATGTGAGCACATACTGTGTGCTGACCCTAAGCACTGTCAGCAAGGACCAGGATTTGGTATTGCTCAGGCCTGGCCCAGTCCCAGGGTGTGAGAAACAAGGCCCAGAGGTTTGGCTTTCAGAATGATGACCCCAGAAAGGGACCAAGTGTGTGAGGGATAAGTACCGTCCTGCTGGCAGGAAGTCTTCTCTCTTTATTGCCTGCCTGACTCTAGCCCACTACCCACTACCTCCACCCAGGATGGACAGCTGGGAGTTGGGGAACACACAGTCCTGGAGGTACTGGGCTGGGGGTTAGCCTGGGACCTCCTTCTCAGAAATGGAGCCCTGGCAGGCTCAGACAGGTAAAGTATCTGAGGAGGTCAAATCTACCACCATGAAGGAAAAAGATTAAACCTGGTTACCTGAGGAAGCTAAGGGAGGTGGGCATCTAGTGCTCAGGCCCCTGCCCCAAGTGATGCTTTGGAGGGAGAGGGCCACTCTCTGCTCTTTTGGAAATGGAACAAGCAAGTGTGCATGCAGGATAGGACAGCATGGTGGGCCTAACCTCTCTGGGGATGTGCTATTTAGCCATACCTGGCCATGTACCTGAGTGTGTGAGTGATTATCAGGTGTCATGTCATCAGCCTCCGGTGTTTACAGTGTGTACAGCAGTCTGCACCTCCCCTGTCTTACCTCTCATGGAAGTTGTGATTTGACATTTATTTGTGAGCTTTTTCTGAGTCAAACCTGTTACCTGCACTGGGCTGGAAGGAAGAGAAGTTTGAAACAGGGGTTCCTGCTGTGTCCTCTGCACCTAAAACTAGCCTGATTCATGAGTGTTTGAATGAATGAGTTGTAGATGTGTGTGATCTGGGGGATCTCTGAAAGAGGCTATGGCTGTGGGATGGGTGTATTCTACCCAAAGTGCTGGAAGAGGGAGCTGGACCAGGATGGGAGTGCGGTATTTAAGCTGCTGAGTTACTGTGTAGGAAGAAGGATCAGGCGGTATGTAAAGTCCTCAGCTGACCCAGCCATGAGAAAGATGCCTTGGTGCCCCCTCTCAGACCTGTCCCCAACAGGCCATGGATAAGATGACTCTGCTCCCAGGGAGAAAAAAGAAGCCAGGCCCACCCAAGGCACCCAAGGGAGGGCAAGCAGCCAGGCAGGAAGTGGGACAGAGAACAAGCTGAAGTGTTTGTCCTATGTCCCAAGAAAGCGGGGGATGTCACCCAGCAGTGGCCCCACAGGCTAAACTGCCAGGAAGGAGCCAAGTCAGGCTAAACAGGCCAGAGCAGGGGTGCTAAACAGAGGCAGAAGCTGGGCTCCTAGTCCCCCCAGGCGACCAAAAGCAGCTAGAAGCCTTTAGGTGGAGTCCAGAGAAGGGCAGGGCTGACCAAGTAGCAGGATAAATGTTGAGGTTGAGTTATCCATTGAGATGGCAATCAGAAGACCCTCTGTTCTCCAGAGATGGGCCTTCCCTGCATCCTGGCACTACAAGGGCCAGAGTTACTCAAGTGGAGGGGACTTCACATAGTCCTGCATGCCAGCACTGTGGTATGAGGATGATATCTGGGAGAGTTCTGCTGCCCTTACACTCTGCAATCACCTCACTCAGGCAGCTCTACAGGCACTTCTCAGGGGCCAAGTGCTATGCCTTGTGGTGGTGGAGAACAGTCCGGCTTGGGGGAGGGAAAAGTAGGAAATAGATACATGGATGGAGCACAATGTCCCTTCCTGTTACAGACATGGGTTTCAATGTTTCATGCTACACTGAGTCAGATGCTAAAATTGGAAGTCCAGCTATACCTATAGCCTCCATGGGGAAAGGGCAAAGTCCCTGGTCTAGAGGGACTGGAGAGTCTGGATCAGCACATTCCTCACCATGCTACTTGCAGAGACAAACATACTCTCAGCTCTCCCAGTTGGGTTTGCACCTCATTGCAGACTTCACACTTTCTCTATGGCTTTAGGCTTTGTGGCTGTACCTTATCACCCCACAGGGCTGCGACCTTCCTCAAAAGCAAGAACTTCCTCCCATTTCCTCTCCATGCTTTTTCTTATTTGCATTCATTAGCCCATTAGTGAGTGCTGTTATGTACTATGTATTGTGCTAGGCTCTACAGATATAGCAGGGAGCCAAATAGGCAGGTTGCCTGAACCTGGACAGCACAATTAATGAGTAAGGGAACTAGTGTTGAAGATATGATAATGCTATGCAAAAGGCCTCAGAGGGAACTCACAACTAGTGGGTCATAAAGCATTGGTCAGGAAGATTTGCTAAAATTCATCTAACCTGAAACCTAAAGAATAGGTAGGTATTAACCAGGAGAAGAGATGCCATGTAAAATGGGCAAGAAAGACTGGCACCTGAAACAAGTGGGCTCTCCACATGGTAGGCACTTTAGAGATAGTTGCTTAAAAAAAAAAAAGAAAGGCCGGGCATAGTGGCACATGCCTATAATCCCAGCACTTTGAAGGCTGAGGCAGGAGGACCGTTGCAAGTTTGAGAGCAGCCTGGGCTACAAAGTGAGTTCAATGCCAACCTGAACTGTATAGTGAGATCCTGTCTTGAAAGAAAGAAAGAAAGAAAGAAAGAGAGAGAGAGAAAGAGAGAGAGAGAGAGAGAGAGAGAGAAAGAAAGAGAGAAAATGAATTGCTGAAAGGAGGCATAGCTAGCTACAGTGCAGAGCCTTGTATGCCTCTCTGATGCGTCCCAAGCAGGAGGTCAGAGGTCACAAGGTCTCCATACATACCCCCAGTTTTATAAGCCAGCTTTGAGCTACTATAAGGAAATACCTGTGGCACTTAATTTTTTAAAAGATTAAAAAATGGTATATACCTGTAATCCCAGCACTCAGAAGGCTGAGGCAGGAGGATTGTGAAGTCAAGGCCAGCATAGGCTACATAATAAGTTTGAAGCCAGCCTGAACTATACAGCAAGACTTTGTCTTGGAAAAAAAAAAAAAAAGTTAAATTTATTTTGGCTTATGGTTCTGCAGGTTTTAGTCTCCTCTCCATTTTTGTGGTACTAGGGATTGGACCCAGGGCCTTCCCACTGAGCTACATCCCCAGCCCTTCTATTTTTTTTTTTTTTTTTTTTTGGTTTTTCTCCGGTACCGGGAACCGAACTCACAACCTTGCGCATGCCAGGCAGGCGCTTTTTGCCGCTGAGCTAAATCCCCAGCCCCCCTTCTATATTTTGAAACAGGGCCTCACTAAGTTGCCCAGGCTGGGCTCAAACTTTTGATCTTCCTGTCTCAGCCTCTTAGAGTGCCCAGATTACGGGAATATGCCACCACACCTGGCCAACAGTGGCCCTATTTCTTTGGGCCTCTGGTGAGGATGGCACATCATGGTAGGAGCCTGTGGTACAACAAGTTGCTTACATCTCATGATCCAGGAAGCAAAGAGAAAAACTGGATTGGCTGGGGTCCCATAATCCCCTTTGAGGATACCTGAGGCCTTCTACAAGGCCCCATTGCACAAAGGTTCCACCACTTCACATGGACCTTTGGGGACATTCAACATCCAAACTATAGCACCAGTCCTTAGAGCTGTTCCCCTTGCCGCCAGCTGGAGGACTGTGCCCTGCAAGTGTCTCCCTCTGGATACTACCTGGATCTGGAGTTGTCCTTGGAAGAGCAGCGGGAGATGCTGGAGAGCTTCTATGAAGAGATCAGGTCAGAGCCAGGGAGGCAAGGGAGCCCTTCCCCCTCCTCTGCAGGGAGCTGGCATGGATGGAACCCCCTAACCTTGTCCCCACTAGGGGCCAGCTCAGGTATCAGCAGCTGAGACACTCCATCTGTATCCTGGCCCATGGGTCACCTCCTACAGCCCCAGGGAACTATGCCAGGGGAATCCCCAAGCCTGGCCAGTGTTACCTGCTATCCAGGGTTGGAGGGGGGCTCTGCCACATACCTGAGATACCTGTGTTTGCACACACCCAACTGTCTTTCTACCCTTGAGCCTTGGAGTGGTAGTGGGGAAGGAAGCAGCTGGGCACGGTTGGCAGATAGAGATGTTTGATTGCCTTGACTTTGGGGGAGAGGACCTGGGGAATGGGCTGGGAATGGTTGATGAGGCTTCTTAATTCCAGCAAAGGGCGAAAGCCCACAGTGATCCTGCGGACCCAGCTCTCCGTGAGGGTCAACACTATCTTGGGTGAGTATGTAAGGGATCTGTGTCCAGCAGTGCTTCCCTATCCTCTCCACATAGCCCAGCTGGCCCAGGTTCTTTCTGACTTGTGTTGGACTGGATGGAGTAGAATGGCAACAGGATGTACTCGCCTACCCTGCTGGGCTAGGAATGACACCACAGCTACACTGCAGTGGTGGTCGTAGCAGAGAGTGCCTGGACAGGGAATGGAGTACAAGAGAGTTGGGGAATTCTAAAAATTTCTGTAGTGGTAGATTATGGTTGTGTTCTAGTAAAGGAAGACTGCGTCTGTGTTCCTCTGAGGGTTTCATGCCTACCTACCCTTGCAGAAAAGTTGTATGGCTCCAGTGGCCCTGAACTCCGCCGCTCTCTCTTCTCACTGAAGCAGATCTTCCAGGTAAGGTCTAGAAGTGGGATGAGGGTGGATGTCCAGCCTGAGCATCCCTAAACTTACCCTGGTGCCTCTAGGAAGACAAGGACTTGGTGCCTGAATTCGTGCACTCAGAGGGGCTGAATTGCCTGATCCGTGTGGGTGCTGCTGCTGATCACAACTACCAGAGCTACATTCTTCGAGGTCAGCCCCACTCCTCCTCCATGAGCTCTATCCCCGTAACCCACCTTAACCTCTTCCCATTTCTGTGTCCCCAGCCCTGGGCCAGCTGATGCTCTTTGTGGACGGGATGCTGGGGGTGGTGGCCCACAGTGAGACAGTGCAGTGGCTATATACACTGTGTGCCAGCCTGGTAAGTGGCCACACATCCTTTTCCCATTGCTTCTCCCCGGGCCTCAGTTCTCTCTACTTCACAGTGGGCTAGAATGGAGCAAGTCTGAAGCCCCCCTAAACCTAGAAGATTTGGAGCCAATATATTTCTGCCTAGACGTTTCTCTGGGTCCAGCCCCAAGAGTCCTTCCCAAGTCCCACTCACATATGACCTTTTCCCCCAGTCCCGCTTGGTGGTGAAGACAGCTCTGAAGCTGCTGCTAGTTTTTGTAGAATATTCTGAGAGCAACGCACCGCTTTTCATCCAGGCAGTGAACTCTGTGGCCAGCACCACAGGTCAGAACCTTTCTCTCCCTCCCCTGCCACTCAGAGCCCTCTTACCTACCCCATTGTGATTGCTCCTCTTTCTGTGTGGCAGGTGCTCTCCCCTGGGCCAATCTGATATCCATCCTAGAGGAGAAGAACGGTGCTGATGCAGAGCTATTGGTGTACACTGTCACTCTCATCAACAAGGTATGGGTGGGGGCTGGGTGTCAACTGAATGGCTGGGGCTCCTGACCTGTGGTCGCCACCAGTCTCAGCCCTGGCTTCCTGTTCTCACACTGCAGACGCTGGCGGCACTCCCGGACCAGGACTCCTTTTATGACGTGACAGATGCACTGGAGCAGCAGGGCATGGAAGCGCTGGTCCAGCGCCACCTGGGCACCGCTGGCACCGACGTCGACCTGCGCACACAGCTTATGCTCTACGAGGTGGGCTGGAAGTGGGGGGATGAAGGAGAGAGGTGCAGCTCCCCACCACCCCGCGCACCTAATTCAAGAGCTCATCCCTGGCCCACCTCTGCCAGAGAGCCCTGCGGTTGGAGGATGGAGACATGGAGGAAGCTGCAGCCGCTGCAGCTGCGGGTGGTCGACGGGAGCGAAGAAAGCCCTCTTCAGAGGAGGGCAAGAGGAGCCGCAGATCTCTGGAGGGTGGGGGCTGCTTTGTGCGTGCCCCTGAACCTGGGTCAGTACTAACTTGGGGAGATGGGGAATGGTGAATCTGCCGGATGTGGCGCTGTCTGCTGACAGACCCCACCTCCAGCCCTATAGGCCCCGCCTCATCGATAGGCCCCACCTCCTCCACTGGCCTCCTGCCAAGCCCCATCTCCAGCCCAGTGGGCTTAGCCTCTGGCCTCTGTACCTCGGCGAACCTCTTTCCTACCATTTCCTTGGCGCCCTCCATCGACAGCTCTGGAGAGAGAAGTGTCTACAAGTAAGTAGTAAGACGGTGGCAGTCCCCGGAATCCTGTCTCCAACTGTCCCTCCACTTTGTGCCCTTTCACGGGCCCTCAGCCTCCTCTGCCCAAACGCGTGCTTTCTCTTTCTTTCCAGACTTCACCAAACTGCTCCCATTTGGTAAGTGACTGCTGGGCGGTGGGGTTCGGCTCTGTCTGGACCTCTCCTCCTGCAGCTGCTCTTTATCTCCTGATATTCCACCTCTTTTTGCCTCCGGTGACCTGTCTCCTTCCTCCCTGTCTTTGTTTCTCTGCTACTCTTGATCTGCTCTTTACCTCCATATCATCCTGCCCTGCTTCATGTCACCCTCCTCCTTCCACTTCCAGTTTCCATGTCCCGCTTCCCTTCCCACCCCATGCCTGGGAAGGAATCCTGTTATCACTGCTCAGCTCTATGTGGGTGCAAGTGGGTTTTGGGGTAGAGCTGGCACCACAGTTACCATCTCTTCCTCTCATCCCTCAACCAGGGCCCCAGAGAGCCCACCTGTCCCCCAGTCCCCTACCGTGCAGGCCGGGCTAAAGTAAGTACGGAAGCCAGCCTGCGAGGCCTGCCATGTGCTGAGGGCTTCGGCATTGCTTCTCCATCAGGGGCTTTCCCATGCCCCATGCAGCCTGAACTGAGGGACTCTCAGCCTCCCCCTCTATCAGGCTTATGCCTTCGGAGTAACCCAAAGAATAAGTACTGGGAAGCAGTTCACTGGTGTCATAGTTGACTCTGTGCTTCATTAAGTGAGACCTTAATAGCTTAAACTAGAATGAGGGTACATACTCTGTGCTTCATTAAGTGAGACCTTAATAGCTTAAACTAGAATGAGGGTACATACTCTGTGCTTCATTAAGTGAGACCTTAATAGCTTAAACTAGAATGAGGGTACATACACCAGCTTGGGAATAGGGCAGGGAAGGGATCTAGAGTGCTGGATGTTGTGTGCTATGTGGGTGGGGGAGCAACCTAAGACTGAGAGAAGAGCAGTAAGTGAGGATAGACAGAGGCTGGAGGGGTCAGAAAAAGATTGGATCACTTTCATTATTTCAATATAAACTGAGTACCCACCATTTACCAGATCTTTTCCTGGACATGGGCCATAGCTCTCAGAAACTGCCAGACATGCCAAAGGAGGGAATGCCTGATGTCCCCATTGGGACAGTCATCCCCTTCCCCTACTATAAAGATTACTGTCTAGAATCAGGACAGGCAAAAAAAAAAAAAAAAAAAATCAGCATGAGCAGCAGCAAGCTTGCAAGTTAGATGTTAAGCAGAACTTTCCCCTGCTCTTTGACCTAAGAATGCTGAGTTGGCTTTAACTCTTCCCAGACATGGGAATGAAAAGGAGCTGGGCTTTAGCGGGTAGGGGTCTGCTCAGCGCATGACTGTACCCTGTGCCTGTGTGTGTCCACAGTGGGGGCAGCGTCCAGGAGCCCAGAAAGGCATGTGCATTTCCCTGGGCTCAACTTGTGACAGGCACTATCACTGACAAGTACCTTCCCTCAGAGCCCGGTTTTTGGAAAATATGGCAGCAGCAGAAACAGAGAAGCAGGCTGTGCTGGCCCAGGGCCGGGCAGAGACACTGGCAGGGGCCACACCAGATGAAGCAGATGGACCTCCAGGTAGGTAGGCAGGTGGGCAGAATCCAGAATACACCCTGTCCTTCATAGGATACTGACAGCTGCTTCCTTTTTTTAGGCTCACGAGAACTGTGGGGCTCCCCAGAGCCAGCCTCTGCACCCAGAACACCCCAGAGCACTGTTCCCCGAATCCTGCTCCAAGCCCAGCAGAGCCTTGAGCCAGAGCACAAGGAGCCACTGACACCACCAAGCCCCAAGGCTGAGCCCATCCCGGAGATCCCTACCCGGGTATCCAAGCTCTGCATTGGGGACCTGGACTTCTCAGATCTGGGGGAGGATGAAGATAAGGACATGCTGAACGTGGAGTCTGTGGAGGCTGGAAAAGGAATACCACACCCACCACCTCTACTGCCCCTGCAATCTGCAGGCCCCCCACCTCCTCCACCCCCACTTCCGCTATCCATCAAAGGCCCCTGCCCCCCACCTCCACCCCTGGCGGCCCCTCCTCCCCGCTCAGCACTTGATGGCCCACTTCTCCCCACCAAGAGAAAGACAGTAAAACTCTTCTGGCGGGAGCTGAAGCTAGCTGGGGGTCATACAGGCTCTGCAAGCCGCTTTGGGCCCTCCCCGACCCTGTGGGCCTCCCTTGAGCCTGTTTCAGTGGACACAGCACGGCTGGAACACCTCTTTGAGTCACGAGCCAAAGATGTGTTACCTTCCAAGGTAAACCCAGAGGCAGGAAGAATTACAGCTCAAAGGGCTGAGCTAGTCAAGCTAGCCCCTTTTTGCACATGGGAAAATTGAGGCAAAGAACTGAGAAGGATTTGAGGCTATCGATAAGGGATTGGGAGTTGGGTGTGCTGCTGCATGCCTGCAATACCTGCACTTGGAAAGCTAAGGCAGAGAGATTGCTGCAAGTTCAAGGCCAGCCTGGGCTATAGAGTGAGTTCAAGGCCAGCCTGAACTTCATATTGAAACCCTGTCTCAAAAAAAAAAAGGATTGGCAGAGCTTTCAGTAGAATCTCAGTTTATCCCAGTCCCAGCCAGCTGTGGGATCATTAAGCCACTTAGTAGAGGATGTTGGAGTGCTCTCTGAGATTATTGCCCCACCTAGTCCCTTCCCAGTCTTACATAGTCCTTCCTCAAATCTTTCAGAAAGCTGGTGAGGGCCGCCGAACAATGACTGTAGTACTGGACCCCAAGCGCAGCAATGCCATCAACATTGGTCTAACCACTTTGCCACCTGTGCATGTCATTAAGGCTGCCCTGCTCAACTTTGATGAATTTGCTGTCAGCAAGGATGGCATTGAGGTAGGGATACCCTATGTGTGCGGGAGGTCTGGCTCTCTCCCTTGGTCAGTGGGCATTTCCAAACCCTTTAGTAGTGACCATGGGCTTGACAGGGCATTCACCAGGCCCTTGGGCTCCCCCAGTGTCCTAAGGAGGAGTTGGGGCCAAAAACCTCAGGCCTACAACTGAGGGATCTATGTGGGGTGATGGCTGCGTCCTCAGAAACTACTGACCATGATGCCCACGGAGGAAGAGAAGCAGAAGATCCAGGAAGCCCAGCTAGCCAACCCTGATGTGCCCCTGGGCCCAGCTGAGAATTTCCTGATGACTCTTGCTTCCATTGGGGGCCTGGCTGCCCGCCTACAACTCTGGGCCTTCAAGCTGGACTATGACAGCATGGAGCGGGTATCTGGGTCATGGAGTGGGACAGGCAGTAGGGAAGGGCGAATGATGATAACCATATAGTCTGAGGGCGCCTGGTCTTCACACCAGGAAATTGCAGAGCCACTGTTTGACCTAAAAGTGGGCATGGAACAGCTGGTACAGAACACCACCTTCCGCTGCATCCTGGCTACCCTGCTGGCTGTGGGCAACTTCCTCAATGGGTCCCAGGTGAGTGAAGTCCCAGCACACAGGCTGGGGGTCAGGGCTCTGGAACTATCCAGGCCCAAGCTCAGACAGGGTTCTTTCAGAGCAGCGGCTTTGAATTGAGCTACCTGGAGAAGGTGTCAGAAGTGAAGGACACGGTGCGCCGGCAGTCACTGCTGTACCATCTCTGCTCTCTGGTACTCCAGACTCGGCCTGATTCCTCCGACCTCTACTCAGAGATCCCTGCCCTGACCCGCTGTGCCAAGGTTAGCATCAACCACAGATCAGACTGAGATTGGCCATGACACAGTATACACTGCTTTCTAGGTCTGGCTCTTCCCCCTTCTCCCTATTTGAGCTACTGTGGCAGGGTGTGCTTAGTTCATCCACTCATCCAAGTGGGTGAACTACGTCCTCTACCAGAAGCATTCTTTCTTGTCCTGGCCATACCTACTGCCTTTTGGGTCTGTTTACCTGCTACTTCCTCTAAGAAGTCTTTGTCTGTTCCCTGTAAATCAAATGGACGTGTCTGTCTCTTGCATTAGACTATGAGGTTTTGGAAAGCACAGGCCAAATCTCAGCTATGTCCCTAAGGCCAAGGCTGGTCAGCCTGGCACAGAAGTAGCCTCAGACAATGTTTTACCTATGGGAGGATAATACACATAGTCATTTGGTTGTTTTTAGACAGGGTCTCACTATGTAGTCCAGCTGGCCTTGAACTTGTTTTGTAGCCCTAGGTGGCCTTGAAGTTGCAATACTCCTGCTTCAGGATCCTAAGTGCTAGAATTACAGGCAAGTACCACCATGCCCAGGCCCTCACTTGTTTTTCCAGGTGGACTTTGAGCAGTTGACTGAAAACCTGGGGCAGCTGGAGCGCCGGAGCCGGACAGCTGAGGAAAGCTTGCGGAGCTTGGCCAAGCATGAGCTGGCCCCAGCCCTGCGTGCCCGCCTCACCCACTTCCTGGCCCAGTGTTCCCGCCGTGTTGCCATGCTGAAGGTAGTGCACCGCCGTGTCTGCAACAGGTAGGGGTGCAAGACAGGGAGAGGTAGGACTACCACCACCATGCCTCAAACACCAAGCAGGGCTCCACATCCCTTTCCATTCCAACTTGCCTAGGTTCCACGCCTTCCTGCTCTACCTGGGCTACACTGCACAGGCAGCTCGTGAAGTACGCATCATGCAATTCTGCCACATTCTGCGGGAGTTTGCACTCGAGTATCGGACTTGCTGGGAACGGGTACTGCAGCATCAGAAGAAGCGAGCCACTTACCGTGAACGTAACAAGACCCGGGGACGCATGATCACTGAGGTGGATCCCCTTCCAAGTCATGACTGCCACTCCCACGGTTCTTTTCCCCTACTCACTCTTGTCCCTTCTCCAGACAGAGAAGTTCTCATGTGTGACTGGGGAAGTCTCCAACAACCCATCTGTCCCAGTGGCCGTGGGGAGTGGGCCAGGCCAGGGTGATGCCAACAGTCATGCCAGTATGAAGAGTCTGCTGACCAGCAGACCGGAGAACACTACACATGGCCGCCGCAGCAGAGGTGGGACCCATAGCTGCTGGGGGGAAATGGGTTCTAGGCTACCTTGGCTTGACCTCCCTATCTGATCTTCCTCAGGCATGGTCCAGAGTAGCTCCCCAACTGTGTCTACAGCAGTGGGGCCCTCTACTGCACTGCCTGATGAACCCCCAGGCTCGAGTTTACCCAGTGATACATCAGATGAGATCATGGACCTATTAGTGCAATCAGTAACTAAGAACAGTCCTCGAGCCTTAGCTGCTCGAGAAAGGAAGCGTTCCCGTGGCAACCGAAAATCTTGTAAGTATGCCCACAAACCTACTACCCACCTTAACCCCACAACCCCCTCCAACTCTATTCTATCCCTGCAGTGAGACGGACGTTGAAGAATGGGCTTGGAGACGACCTGGTGCAGGCACTAGGACTGAGCAAGACTCCTGGACTGGAGGTGTGAGGGTGCTGCCTCCACTGATCCTGTCGTATACGAGACTGTAGAACAAAGAGGGCCCAGCACAGAATTCCGGTCCCAGAACCTTGTGCTCAGGGGCCAGTGCTTTTAGCAGTATTAGGTGTGTGTGTGTGTGTGTGTGTACATGCGTGTATGTGAGCTCCCTACTCAAGGGGCAAAATAAAGTTTTCTTAGCTAATCTAAGCCTTTTTCTTCGTTTTTTTTCTTTTACTTTTCCTTTTTTTTTGTGGTACTGGGAATTGACCCCAGGGCCTTTGCACTAAGCTACATCCCCAGCCCTTTCATCCTTTTTTGAGACAGGTCCTCATCAAGGCTAAATTGCCCAGGCTGAGATCGACCTTGTAATCCCCCTACTGCAGGCTCCCAAACACCACACCCAACTCTTTTTCCTCTTTCACCCTCCCCCCGCGCCTGTATACCATAGGGCTAGTTCTTCCTGCTTTGTCCTCATTATCACCCAGACAGACAGCCACGTTCTAAACCATTTATTCAACAATCCTCTACCTTGTGGTGCTTTTGGCCCTGGACTAGGCACTCACTGCTCCAGGCATAGAAGACATGCAGCCTGATAGTCACCCAGCAACCTGTGGCCACAATGTTAATGACTATAACCGCTTCATCTGCCGCCGCTCCTGTCGGCGCTGCCGTTTTTCATTGTGCTCTGGTGCTGGGGTGCCACTGTCTGCCGTGAACCAGGGGCCCAGCACATTCACCCACAGGAGGTAAAGGGCCCGGCCTGGAGCCTAGGAGAGAGAAGGTAACTTGAAGTCTGGTGCAAAGAATGAAGGATAAGGGTTAGTGGCCCTTTCTTAAGAATCCTAGCTCACACACCAGAAGCCAGAAGGACCAGATGTAGAGGGAGAAGCAGCTGAGCACCTGCACAATGGCTGTCAGCAGGATCACATCCTTGAGGTGCCTATGGATAGAAGGGAGGCTGTAAAGGCAGTAGATCAGTTCCTGTTCCGTTCCCTCCTACTCTCTTCAAGTTACAGGTTGTGGGTCTTGGGCTCTCTGGGCCCCAGCGCCCCAGCCCTGGGGCCCGCTCACCTGGGCTGGCGGTGGGGGACACTCACTCTGCCATGCCCTGCTCCATGTTGAGGTCCATGCCACCATCCATCAAGGCCCCATCCTCAGAGAAGGCTGCGCGAGCCATTGAGCACATAGAGTGGTAGCTAGCCCCATATACTGCCAAACTAAAGGCCAGGGCAATCTGCAGAGCAAGAACACAAGTATCAAAAACCAGCCACTGACCCTATACACTCATCCACTTTCCAGAATGGGGACACTTACCCAGGCCCAAAATGAGGCAGATGAGTAGAAGAAAACCAAGGTCACAAGGCAGTAAATGGCCTGCAAGGAAACATAGCATCAGGTTGGGGAACAAATGCTACTCCCAAACCATGGGCTTCCCTCAACTCTGACCAAGAATTAGGCAAGGTTGTAGGAGAAGCCAGGCCTTTCTTATTAGAAAAACAGTTCTGAGGGGCTGGGGATTTAGCTCAGCGGCAAAGCGCCTGCCTGGCAAGCGCAAGGTCGTGAGTTCGGTTCCCGGTACCAGAGAAAAACTAAAGAAAAAAAAAAAAAAAAAGAAAAACAGTTCTGCTTTCTGAGTCTGAGTACCCAGACTCTCCTGATACCCAAGTTAGCCTACGAATAAAGCCTTTGTGTATCTGGGGTGGAAAAGGCTGTGAAATCCAGCTGGGACTCACTCCATTGCTTTTTTTGTTTTTGCTTTTACTAGTCAGCACTATCTATGTGCACTGATCCTTTCTGGGATTTCTGTTGGTGGTGGTTGGTTGGGTTTTTTTGGTGATGGGGGTTAAATCCTCAAACATGCTAGGTGAGTGCTCTACCTTTGAGCTACACACCATTTCTTTTTTACTGTAGTTCTCTTCTGGCGCCTTGGCTGGCACCACCACTTCTCAGCAAACAGACCTGAGGGTTGTGAGGCTCTAAGCGGGCACAGAAGAAAGGAGGCTGGCACTTACATTGGCCCCCAGTATGATCCGCAGGTAGAACTTGAGGGTCTCTTTGTTCTCTTCAAATATCTGCTTCTTCCCTCTTGTGCCCACTTTCCCCTTGGGCTGCAGAGGGATGATGAGATGCCATCAGGTCTCTTCTCAAGAACAGTCCTCCTCACTTCCCACACCAGCCTGGTTAGGTACTCAAACCTTGTACAGTCTCTGGGATGTCCACCCCTCCTCCAGCCTATCCAGTAGAGAGCTGACACCATTTTCATAGCACCTCCGGCTATGACTGCTTCCTCCTGGCTCAGAAAACAATCAACCCGAGCCTAACACCTTTTCTAGCTAACCTGACAAGGTTCAGCTTTGGGCTGACGACCCCTCCAGGGGCACTCTTGAGGGGTGTTGAATAATTCCCTCTCCAGCCTCTGCTGCAGGAGTTCATATCTGGAAGTGATGCCCACCCTCCTCTAGCACTAGTTCTGGAATGGTCCTGCGTCACCGACTCCCGCCCACTCCCAGACCCGGAGAGTTCTAGTACAGTCTGGCCGCTGGATAGCGCCTCCCTCTGGCCCACCCCACATCCTATGCTGTCCTTCGCCTGATTTTACGGTCTCAGCCCGAAGTGATTTTCTGATGGAGACCCCACCCTCCTTACCGCCATTATACGACGCAAATAACCAGCAGAGAAAACTAGGGCGAGCAACTGAAACCACAGTGAGTATGAACCACATCGGCAGATCATGCACTTCCGGTGCAGACCAAAGTCGTCAGTTTCTTGGACGGAAGTGAAGGCTACTTCCTCCCTAAGCCCCGCCTTCAGCGCCAGTGGGACTACACTTCCCAGAAAGCCTTGCGCGGGGGCGGAGACTGCAGGGATGCGATGGCGGAGTCGCTGCCTCTGGAGGTGAGAGGAAGCGGTCCCCAGGCCTAGCTCTGGACAGGCCCCGCCCTCGGGGTCCTGAGCTTTGAGGAGGGGCTGTCAACTTGCCCCGCCACTCCCGCCTGGTGGAAGCGACCTGCCCGGTGGATCCCGGGACCTGCAAGGTCTGGGTAACGGCCCCGCTTTTGGGCCGCTCCATCCCCTTAGCTTGGGGAACCATCCTTTTTTCCTCCGTTGGCCCCAGGAGATGACTTCCCAGGCACTTCACAAGGACAGACCTCCTTCCCACCCCTGTCCCTTGAGAAGGCAGTCCTCTCTCCCTCCTATCTGAAAGATGTCCTCTACATCCCATCGTCCCAGAAGGGTAACCGATCTTATCCCCATTGGCCCCTTGGCATGGTCGTTCCCCTGACAGCGGGAAACGGACTACTCCCTCCTCATCAACTCTGGGAATGGTCCTTGAGGTCCTTCAGCGAAGACACACTTGCTCCCCAGACCCTAGGCCCCTAGTGATGGCTGACCCTACTCCTTTCACACCATGAGATCTTTGTTCCTCTTGATTAGCTAGGAACAAAAATGCTTTGCTCTGGTAGGACAGGAGATTTTGTTCTCTGTGACTTCTGGGAATGGCTTCTCCATCCCTGGTGTCCTGAAGGTTGTCAGCCCCCTTCTGCTGCTCATAGTAGATATGACACTCTCCCATCAATCCTGAAGTGCTCCCTCTTCTTGGCAAATATAGGCCTGTTCCCACTTCAGTGAGTCCCCTTCAATGGCATCCCTTTCCTCTTTGCCCCAGAGGATATCCATCCATCCTTATAGATCCCATGGATGACCACTCACATTGCTTTTAGCTCCTTAGGGGTTGAATCATGGGATTGCTACACCATCCTCATCCACTACCTCCTCTAGTCCCTCTACAAAGGCCACCCTCTTCTCAGCTTAATAAATCATGCCCCTACCCCAGTGATGACAAATTTGTTCCCTTCTTCCTTTGCTCGTAGTTTAGCTGTTCAGCCCATACGACAGGATCTTAGCCACTATCTTAGTTATGGAAGGATTCCTTGCTACTCCCTGAGAAGGGGGGCTTGGTCAGTCCTCATCCTCATTAATACTCTCTCCCCTATGGCTTCCCTCTCTGACCAAGGCTGTACCATTAGTCATTCTCCTCTTAGTAATGATCTGCTTTATCTCTCTACCCCTCCCTTGAGCAAACTTTTGGTGAAAATAGAGGTAGAGGACTGTCCATCCTTAATTTAATCCATTAAATTCTGGCTGAGCACCTCCTATATGCTCAGCAACTGAAAAGAGAAGGAGAGATCAGAATGGACTGGTGAAGTCAAGTTTAAGGAAGGACATCTTAGGAAAGAGGCCCAAATACACAAAGAAAGTAGACATACTGTGTTTGTAGGACAGTAGGCAGGATGGACTGAGGAAGCCCTGGAACCAGAAGGCCCAATCAGGAATGGAGGCCTGGCAGTGCTGACCCAAGAGTGGAGATTTTGTCTGGAGAGTACCAGGGAACTCCAAAGCCTTTCACTGGGGTGTGCTGAAATCAAAAGGTTGTTTTAGGAAAATTAACCTACAGCTATAAAAAAATGCAATAGCAAGGATGAACTTGGAGGCAAGGAGGTCAGATGGGAGACTGGAAGGAATCTAGGTCTGGAGTGCTGAAAACTTGAGTTACTAAAGTGTTGACATTGCAAAGGTAGAAATAATAACACCATTCCAACAACCATTTGCAGATCATCTAGTCTCCATAAAACTAGATTTTTAAAAAATCTACATTTCACACATACAGGAACTGAAGCTTAGGGAGTTAGTAGTACTTTGCCTTGAAGTCATGTAGCTAAGATGTGGTGGACCTGCGACTTGAATGAGCCTAGGTTAACCTGGCCTCATTTCATTCTTGTTTATGGGAGTAAGGGACAGAAAAATATAAGTCTGACATATTCCCGGGATCATCAGTGGGGTATATTCTTGGCAATGAAGGGGGCAGTTAGACAGGGGACAAAGTCTGAATTTTGGTTAAAATTAAAGTGAGGGTGGATTGAGAATTAGCTCACAGCTCAGTGGTAAGCACTTGTGCAAGGGTCTGGATTACCCCTCCCTCCAAAAAAAGTGATTGTGAACAGTTTAAATAAAGGGCCCACTGGACATTGGCAGTGCTGGAGTAGCACTTGGAAAACAGGATGATATGAAGCTATCGAACTATTGGTTGTTCCTATTTTTATAAACAAGATCAAAGGCCTCGGTCTAAGCTCTGAGAGGCACAGAAAAATCCAGAAACAGGGCAGTTGGAAGTGCTGAGTGAAGGCCTAGAACATAGTGTTATAGGA